TGACCTGTTGGTAGCGCAACCAGCTCTTAACGTAGCTCTTTTCTTAGCTCTTAACCTAGTTCTTTTCTTAGCTCTTTCCTTAGCTCTTAACCTAGCTCTTTTCTTAGCTCTTTTCTTAGCTCTTTTCTTAGCTCTTAACCTAGTTCTTTCCTCAGCTCTTAACCTAGTTCTTTCCTTAGCTCTTAACCTAGCTCTTTCCTCAGCTCTTAACCTAGTTCTTTTCTCAGCTCTTAACCTAGCTTTTTTCTCAGCTCTTAACCTAGCTCTTTTCTTAGCTCTTAACCTAGCTCTTTTCTTAGCTCTTAACCTAGCTCTTTCCTTAGCTCCTAACCTAGCTCTTTTCTCAGCTCTTAACCTAGCTCTTTCCTTAGCTCTTAACCTAGCTCTTTTCTCAGCTCTTAACCTAGCTCTTTTCTCAGCTCTTAACCTAGCTCTTTTCTCAGCTCTTAACCTAGCTCTTTTCTCAGCTCTTAACCTAGCTCTTCCCTCAGCTCTTAACCTAGCTCTTTTCTCAGCTCTTAACCTAGCTCTTTTCTTAGCTCTTAACCTAGCTCTTTTCTTAGCTCTTAACCTAGCTCTTCCCTCAGCTCTTAACCTAGCTCTTTCCTCAGCTCTTAACCTAGTTCTTTTCTCAGCTCTTAACCTAGCTCTTTTCTCAGCTCTTAACCTAGCTCTTTTCTCAGCTCTTAACCTAGCTCTTTCCTCAGCTCTTAACCTAGCTCTTTTCTCAGCTCTTAACCTAGCTCTTTTCTTAGCTCTTAACCTAGCTCTTTTCTTAGCTCTTAACCTAGCTCTTCCCTCAGCTCTTAACCTAGCTCTTTCCTTAGCTCCTAACCTAGCTCTTTTCTCAGCTCTTAACCAAGTTCTTTCCTCAGCTCTTAACCTAGTTCTTTCCTTAGCTCTTAACCTAGCTCTTTCCTCAGCTCTTAACCTAGTTCTTTTCTCAGCTCTTAACCTAGCTCTTTTCTCAGCTCTTAACCTAGCTCTTTTCTTAGCTCTTAACCTAGCTCTTTTCTTAGCTCTTAACCTAGCTCTTTTCTTAGCTCTTAACCTAGCTCTTTCTAGCTCTTAACCTAGCTCTTTCTTAGCTCCTAACCTAGCTCTTTTCTCAGCTCTTAACTAGCTCTTTCCTTAGCTCTTAACCTAGCTCTTTTCTCAGCTCTTAACTAGCTCTTTTCTCAGCTCTTAACCTTGCTCTTTTCTCAGCTCTTAACCTAGCTCTTTTCTCAGCTCTTAACCTAGCTCTTCCCTCAGCTCTTAACCTAGCTCTTTTCTCAGCTCTTAACCTAGCTCTTTTCTTAGCTCTTAACCTAGCTCTTTTCTTAGCTCTTAACCTAGCTCTTCCCTCAGCTCTTAACCTAGCTCTTTCCTCAGCTCTTAACCTAGTTCTTTTCTCAGCTCTTAACCTAGCTCTTTCCTTAGCTCCTAACCTAGCTCTTTTCTCAGCTCTTAACCTAGCTCTTTCCTCAGCTCTTAACCTAGCTCTTTTCTCAGCTCTTAACCTAGCTCTTTCCTCAGCTCTTAACCTAGCTCTTTTCTCAGCTCTTAACCTAGCTCTTTCCTCAGCTCTTAACCTAGTTCTTTTCTCAGCTCTTAACCTAGCTCTTTCCTCAGCTCTTAACCTAGTTCTTTTCTCAGCTCTTAACCTAGCTCTTTCCTCAGCTCTTAACCTAGTTCTTTTCTTAGCCCTTTTCTCAGCTCTTAACCTAGCTCTTTCCTCAGCTCTTAACCTAGCTCTTTTCTCAGCTCTTAACCTAGTTCTTTTCTCAGCTCTTTTTCAGCTCTTTTTTTCAGCTCGTTTTCTCAGCTGTTAGCCCAGCTCTTTTGTTTGTCAGCTCTTAATCCAGCTCTTTTCCCAGCTCTTAATCCATCTATTACAATAGATATTAGCCCATCTATTATCCTATGTATTAACCCGGCTTTTAACGCTTTCTTTAACACACACACACACACACACACACACACACTGGGGTTACATAAGCAAGCAGGCCACTTATATACAACGGTATCTACCCCAGTAGACTCCCTGGTATCTACTAGGGATGGGGTGACAGGTAGACAGGTCTACCTCGGGAGGTGATTACGAACGTCTAGATCAACTATTGTGGGCCAACTACAGGTAGCTTAGTTAAGTTAAACTAGTCGTGAACACGTCGAGGGGTCGTTAGAAATGCAGTAATTAGCCCTGCCGCTTTAACTGCCTCGTTATTAGCTGCATTCGTAAAGGTAAAGGCTGATTTAGGCCTACAGGTAAATAGGCTCGGTAGTAGCCTACTTATCAAAATTCAAATTTAAGCTATTGAGACTTTGTCACAGTGAAACAGGTTGAAAAACATATATATATACGAAGTAGGGAAGTCTAAACGAGGTTTTGAAGGGTGGAGGGAAGGAAAGGGGGTGTTTACCCTAGGCCTACGTGATCTGTTGTAGGCCTAGAAGACGCCGTTACAGATTCTAGGAGCCATTAGAAATGATGGACGTTAAGGCGGGAATTGAAGCCTAATAACTAGGCTTGTTTTTTTCTCTCTCTCACTCCTACCTCTCACAAAGCACAGCCAAAATCAAGGTAAACATTTCACCCTTGACGTCCTGGTCTTACTTTCTAGGGTGCTGCTCTGTCAGGGTGACATTAAAGTTTTTTTGTTGTTTTTTTTTGTAGGTAAATTGATACGAACTCGATCATCAGATGCTCATTTGACCTTCAAATTGCTGTAATGTTGTTGTAAGAAAGAAATTCAAGCTATTAATTTGACCTTATTTCACTTGACCGAAATTAATATTATTCGTATGTATATATAATTCATTATATATGTAGTTATAATATATAATTCAGTTTGTATATAATTATAAAAATATAATTCATTCTTTATATATATAATTATATATATTCCGTTTTTATATATAACTGTAATGTATAAATAATTCATTATATAATATATTTTATGATCATTATTTCTTTTTGTTATATAAAGGCAGTGGCGATATTGTAGTTACTAATTTGACTTCTTTCTTCGTAAAAACAAAATACTGTTTAAATAGTTAACGTTAAATTGGAACAAACAATGGAAGATTTGACCTTTTAAAAATATGAAATAAATTATTAGTCTTTTTTCGCGAGAAAGTTTAACGTTAAAAACCACAAACTTGAAAAAGATAAATTAACTTAAGTATTGTATTTAGTTGCTATATGGTGACCTCGATGACGTCACGCGAACGGTCTTTCTAATCCGGATCAACGCGCCAAAAACGAACATAATTGTTTGGCGGGAACCGGTTCTTGATCCTGAATGATTCTGGTGTTAGAATTTTGTCTACGGTCCAACAGAGCGGCAACACGGCCAGAATTCCGCGAGGCACTGGCGAAACCTTTACATCTCTCGTATACTCATTGCGCCGTTGTTTTATTTTAAACGGTTTATGTGCCCCTGGAGCACTATACGAGGCTGTTGATAATTGTTTAATAATTAACACAGACAAAGCCGCCATTGACTTACCCAACATATGAGATGAATTTAAAATTAATATATATACGAAAGTGAAGCATGAAAGTTATGTAGACATTTATTATAATTTACAATTTACTATTAAAAAGCCATTGACAGATAAGGAATGACATTAACCGCCATATTGGGCCACCTTATTGGGCCGCCATATTGGGTCGCCATATAGGGCCGACATATTGGGTCGCCATATTGGGGTCGCCATATTGAGTCGCCATATTAGGCCGCCATATTCTCACTTGCATAACTGTGTATAGAGTTGGTCTCCGCTATTTCAGTTTTGATTCTATTCTATTGGTCAGTTTAGTCCATTCGGGAACAGTACTTAATTACTTTGGTCAGTACAGGGCCATGCCTATTCACCCGAGAACTTTGTGTATAGGGATCATGTCTCCTCTGCCTGCATCTGCGACCATTTGCCTCAGTCTCCCGTGTTCACTACTTACATTTTCTGTCTATATTCGCATATGTATTCAGTTTGTTTGTGTTTTGTTTATTTGCTCTCTTTCGCTAACAGTTAAGCAAATATTGAACATTGTCTAGGACTAAAAGTATACTCTTAGGGTATATATACACCTAGAATCTGTATATTGGAGATATGTAACCGGTTTTCCCGTTTTCTTCCATCGTGGCGGTTTATCAAGACATCATGTCGGTTGGGGATTGACTCAACTGTCACAAATTCAAATGTGAATCCAGCGGGAGATTGCGCCTTGGTAACACTGCCGCGCTCTAGGCATGTGCTTCGCTTCTGGCAACAGTGAAAGTGGAGACAAGAAACCTGTTTCTCAACCTCCAAAGCCAGATTTGTCCATTGATTCGGTCAAGTTGCAAATGACATGTGACATTGCGCTGCGCAATGCCATTGATTCCGGCGTTATTTTTGCCGCGCGCGTCATATACGATGCCATAAATGCAATGATTCGGACAATGGACAAATTTGAATATTTGAAAATCTAGAGGGGGGGGAATGAAGGTCCCCCCCTTTTATACCCCCCTCAACTGACATTTTCCCAGCATGCTATACCCCACAATAGTTTCCTAACTGCACGGGTATCTATTTTCTGCTTGGTGAATAGAAGCTTCAGGTGAATGAAAACGTTGGCAACCTGTCCGTTTCCCCGCCCGGGGATTGAACGCCAGTCGCCTCGATTAAGAGTTGAGGCTGTAGACCACTGAGCTACGTAACTTGTGGTTTAAATTTGTTAACGTAAAATTTACTTCATGTAAAGAAAAATTATTTATGCCTTAGAACTTAGAACTTCTATTTACGTTAGAACTTATACTCTAACTTAAACAGCCTAATTTAACTGAATCTGAATACTAGGAAATAACTTATCAAGTTTAAAGCCTAAATCGTCTTGACTTAAAGTTGATGAACAGCACTAAATTAAACTTGAGTTCTATAAAAAAAAAATCTTAAAATTTTAGGAACAGACAACTTAACTATCTTGACTTATCTAAATCTAACTTCAAAATCTATTTTGGTGTTTTTTAGGGGGAGGTATATGGTAATGTTAGAACTGATTGTTAGTTATTTGAACAATCTTGTTGTTATGACGTATGGAGAATAGTTCCCCTAACTTTGACGAATGAACACAATCTTCCCCTAACTTTGCCTACGAACACAATCTCCCCCTAACTTTGCCGTACATACAGAAGCTGTTCTAACTTAGACATAATATGTACACAAACCAGCCCCCCCCCCCCCCAACATAACCACAACCCCATTAACTTGACGGCGGTACACTTGCAGGCACAACTTGACAGTGGGTCAAGTCTCCCTGGTGCTGCCCCAACACGACACCATGATGACGGTGCTGGCCGAGTCCTGCCCCACGCCCCTCCCGCCCTCCTCCTGCCCCTCCTCCAGGTATCGAACCCTGGACGGGACCTGCAACAACCCCGACCAGCCACGGTGGGGCGCGGCCAACACCCCCTACCTGCGTCTCCTGCCGGCCTGGTACGCTGATGGTAAGTGAATTTACTCTCTCTTTGTTTACAACTAATCAACTAATGTGTGTTTTGAGGCCTATATCAATGGCCTCTGAAGCCTATCGGTGGATTTTAAGCCTTAGGGGGACACTTTATCCAGTAATACTACGTGTTTTATGTTCCCCCGGTAATGTGTTCAACCATCCTGCCTGCCCCAACAAGTATTTACCCAGGTCTCTCGACCTGGGTAAATACTGGGTAAATTCACTGGCATCTATAACGACTGTGGTGGATTGTTAAGCAAATTTAGCTCGTTGCAACGGCCATAAAAAGAACATTTTCTTTTATTTTTAGAGGCCCCCCCCTTGATAGATAGTAGCAACTGGACCTGCGTACCTCTTTTAGGCCTAGTGTAGTGCGTTAGGTCTAGGATTGTGTAGGTGTTAGACCTAAGATTGCGTATTTAAGCCTAAAACAATTTCTTTTTTTTTGGGTTAATCTGTTGCAGTTTTTGTTATGTCCTTATAGTTGCAATAGGTATACTATCTCTTTTTAGGTAATGTAAAATAGTAAATAACCATGGGAAAGCATTCACATACAAATATTGGCAAGAATTACTGAAACAGAAGGAATGTTTACACATGGCGAGGCTACGCGCCTTACTGGCAACACTGCCACCTCTCAACACATCAACTCTAGTGATCATTTTCAGCTGTGGCAACACTGCCCCAGCATGGCCAACGCATGGCTAGTGAGGCCATGACGCATGGCTATAGTGACTTCACGGCGTATAAGCAGAAAATTATGGAAAAAGCAGATATACGCACGTTTGCGTATGTCAATATACGCCTGAATAGGGAGTTACGTTCCGATATAAAATCCGTTCATAAATTTGTCGAGTAGTGTAAATTGTATATGTTAAGGGTGCCAACGAGCGTCAAATTAGCTAGGATTGGGTTATATATATGTGTGTGTGTGGTTGAGTAGTTACTGTAGTATTTGTCTGCTAATATTTGAACATTTTTCATATTAACGCGGGAAAAAGTATCACGCGTCCGTAACCTCTTTTTTTTTTTGGGGGGGGGGGGGAGCTGCCATTCTCACGGTCGTTAGCTACGGCAGTTTTTATCTACGCAGATACGCACTGACACTTTTCGGTCCCGGTAATATTACCCGCTATTACACCTCTCAAAGTCAGGGGTAATAATGGGCTATATTTTAGTGCTCTTCGTGGCCGAAGCCAAAGTCAAGAGTGAAGGAAAGTTGAAAGTTAATACTGTCCTTGCCGTTGGTCATCTTAAAACTGTTTATTTTAAATTGTTGCTGCCGGAAGCGTTGCTGTTATACCAAGTCCTGTTAAGAGCAATTTAATTTAGCCTTCTCAGTACGGTTCGAAAAACTATATCATTAATTCGGTTCATTGTTTTCTCCAAGTGGGCGTCTTGAAAGTAGGTTTTCGGCTCCTTGCGCCGCGTTCATGTCTTATAGCCTAGTTACACAACGCCTCGGATCGCTACATCGGCGCCGGTCTATAATTTACAGCGGTGACATAATAATGGTGATGACATATATAGCCAATTTTCCCACCAACCATGACAGTTCCCGGCGTCTGCTTGTCATGTCACTGATGGTCAGCTGACCATCCCCCCTCCACCCCCTTGTGTCATTTTCCGCGTGACGTGATTGGCGGATGTGGCAGCGGAAGGCGTGACGTCACCGCTTTAGCCCCGCCTACATGAATCTTTATATTTGATTTTGTCTGGCTTCGTGACGTCATTCCATTCTAGCCAATCGCGTCACAGTAGGGATGATTAATGTTTGTTTTCATAATTAGGATTATCTTTACTAAACTAGATGTGTGTGCAAACTTTAATCACCGTTGAGGTCTGATAAAGACCTTGTGTGTGTGTGTGTGCCCTATGTAATCCTTTTTGCGCTACCGCTCACAAGATGAGTATGGGGTGCCCAATAAACTACCCGCCTCCGGCGGTAACAATCAATATCTTCAAATAAAGACGTATATAATATGCAACTTTCGTTCGTTTTTTTTTTTTAAGTAGTAAAACTTGCTTGTGATTAAACTCACAATCTTCACAGATGAATCTGATGACCAAACCACACATCAGAAGATGGTGAGACGACAACGTTTCGGTCTGTCCTGGACCATTATCCCACTTGCTAATGGTCCACGACGGACCGAAACGTCGTCGTCTCACCATCTTCTGATGTGTGATCATCATATCTTCACCCTCGTTATTGTGACTCATCCGCTGTAATCCAAGTTATTAAACGATAATATAATTTATACACCTGTATATGCAAGTTATATGTTAAATCAGATGTTATTGTCACTAAGTAACCGCAAATGTCCCGTTTTCTGTGCATAACGAAACGAGAAGTGACAAATGAGAAACAAGCAGTGGGTAAGCGAACCTGTTGAGAATTAGTGAGAAAGTTGAGACAGAGATCATGAGTGTTTTGATGTGTAAGATGAGGCTTCAGCCATGAGCTATGTCAATAGGCCTATTGACATAGGCTTCAGTGCTAATTACGACACGTGCGTCCTATCGCTTAATAACGAAAGGATAGTGATGAATCAATAAGAGAATAGTGAGTACTATTACTGAGTGAATAGTGATCTATTAACAAGTTGATAGTGAAATATTAACGAGAGGATAGTGAGTTTGGTGAGATGTGTTTTGTGATTCAAATTTTGACAAGCTAATTTTTTTAAGCGTGATAGATTAGCATTAAATAAAGGAAACCGGGAAGTCATAGTTGAATAATGAATGGACAGGATATCTCCACATTTGGGTTCAGGCGTGAGTTAAAATTGATTCTAAATTTAACTCCAAAATTGGTTTCAATTTTGGTTCCAAATTTGTGTGTAACGAAGTTTGCAATGTATTTGTTTTTTAACATTTTTAACTTTGTGATGATTTTTCAGCCATCTCATCAAGCAGAGATTTTTTTATAGTTCTTAAGCTTCAGTTTTTGTGGAATTTTAAAGTTTTTTTATGGAATTTTGCATATGTTGTTTCTAGGAATTTTAAGGTAATTGGTTCACTTTATTCAAGCACGAATCGTCTAACACAAAAATTAAATTGAAGTTCGAACATTACTTAGTGTTAGAAAAGTTATAATTTGGATAGGGTAATCTTGTATTTTGAGATATTGAACTAATAAATCTGCTTTAATTTGTACAATTAAGAGGTTAAACGTGTCCATTACTTTATGACTTAATTTAAAAACCGTGTAGCTTAATAAAATACGTTTGCTAAAAAACTGGGGAGATCTATGTATAATAGTGGCTTGGGAGCTAGGAATGCTTCCATACCGAAATTGCTTTACTTAAGAACAATTTAACTTCGAACACTTTGACTCCGAACGTTTAAACCATGGGAGCTCCAGCCTCGAACATTTTTCTGTGAGCATTTTGGCTGCAAACGTTTTTTTTTTTTTCCTCCAAACCATTTATGTCGGAGCCCTCAGAGCAAATCAATTACCAAGAACAACCAACCGCCCCATCAAACCCCCTGGATAGTTATCTAGTATATTTGTGATGGTCTGAAAGCCTATTACGGCTTCAGTAATAGTCTACTTGTAAACTGGCAAGTGAACCTTTGTCCTAAACAGAGAATATTCTCTAGTTATATCTTAAGTGTATTATATATCGTTGGTTTAAATATACAAAAATTGCATGCTGAAAACGTTTCCTTAGAATCGATCTGAAAAATTTGGTTTTCAATAAACGGAATTGAAGGGTACACTTAAAGAGTTTTCGACTTCCCTATTTCACATTTTGGAAAATATTACACCATATTTACGTGACCGTACGTAATTAAACCTAACCTAACCTAACCAAACCTTAACCTAACCAAGGATTGCGAATAGATAATGGCACTAATTACATACTCATTCTGAATCCATTACCGCGAGCAGATTTCCTCTCTGAAGATAGCTTGTTTGCTGTTGAATGGGGTAATTTCGAACGTTTCAGTCCCGAACACTTTAGCTTCGAATATATGCTCCCGAACAGCTTAGCTTGACTGTTTACAGAGAGTGCGACCATGCACAGACCCGCCGACGTGTTATACTATAATAACAATACCAAAATATTTAAATAATCCAACATATTTAAGCAAAAGCAGCGATATTAAACACTTTCATTTCTTTTCATTCACCTAGATCATTTGAAGACTCGAACTCAGGACTCGCTTTTGGCATCTTGCCTCCATTTTGTAAATGTGTGGACGTCTTGTCGACGTTACCAGTATTAACGCAACTTGTCCTCTTACAAATTACGTCTGAATTTGCCTGTTTGCCGAAAATGGACGTAATTTAAAAAAAAAAAATATTGGGAATTTGTTTTCCAAAACAGCAAGTTAATGGTCCTCTGGTAGGTTAGGAGGACAGGAAATTCTCCTAAGGTTTCAAAACATCATGAAACCCGTTAATTGAAAGTTTCCTCTCCTAACCTAACTGAGTAAGCCGGAGGACTCCAACAGAAAACGGGACAGTACGTCACTTTCGTGAGCCGATTTCATTTCAAAATACGTCCACTTTTTCGGCATACGAGCGAAAAGCGACGTTATTTTTAAGAGGACGGGTTGTGCAACGAGGCTTCTTGGAGCCATTAAGTCAAGGCCACGTAGCTGGTCTGGCCACCGTTCGAAACCCCCCTCGACCTTGAAATATGAAACTTGGGTCGTCAGGTTACTTGAATGCCTCAATACCTGCCTTAGAAAGCACGCGTTTTGTTGACTTTCAGTACCAACCTCTCGTAAAAGCAAACTTTCGTATGAAATTTATCGTTAGCTAGCTAAACATTCGTAACCAATTTGCCGTAAGTCAACCAAGCTTACATAACCAGTCTAACTCAAGCAAATACAAATAGACAAAGTTATACTAGAATTAAAGCAGCAAATTCATTCTAGTCATTGGTAAATGACTAAGGTTCACACAAACAAAAGATGAACATTTTTACTTGGCTTTTCCAGCCTAAATTATTTGCGCCAAAGTTAATCATTACGCGAACCGTTGACTTCTGTAACGAGCTTGTGGCGTGGATAATATATGGGCGGTTGTATGTGGCTTCAGGCATCACCCAACCATAGAGGTGACGTACACATTTCTAGTTCAAAGGAATTCAGACAGCATACGACTATTAGATCCAAACTAGGTTGTTAGTGGAACTCGAATAGCGGTGCCAACAGAAATCTAAGTTAAATCTACTTAGCCTACTTTTAAGCTAATTTATTAGCTTAAATATCATTAGAGAGAATCTTTATGTTAAGGTAATCCGCTTACGAGCAACTGGTTATTGATGGCCATTCGTTCCTGAAGCATTTTTTGTTTGTAGCTTATCTGTTTAAAAGTAAATCAGGGTCATTAGGGTTAAAGCGCCCCAAACTCGTCAGTTGTAGCTAATTCTCTCTCTCTGGAGTTAATCGCTGGCTCATTGAAACATTCTTTGTTGCCGCTAATCTGTTGGTTAAGCTAAAACTGTCTTCACTGAGGTGAAAAATAAAAAGTACATACAAATATGTGTATCTATACACACACACACACACACACACACACACACACACACACACACACACACACACACACACACACACACACACACACACAATTAGGTGAGTACACACAAACAGCGGCAACAATAACAAAATATCGACTTAGCGGCAACAAGAAAAAAGTTGACCACAACAACAAGTCCTTGAATAGGTGTTTGACTCGTTCCCATCCTTCTCAATGCTATTTATCCAGGTCATAGCATATATATATATATATATATATATATATATATATATATATATATATATATATATATATATATTATCCACTCGACCATCATGATAAAATATTTTCTTTTTTTATAGTAAATCGTCAATTGTATTTTCGTATTTTTTTATCTTTCGTGACCCTTTCCTCCGTTTTATGAGCTGCGGAAAAGAAGTTCGTGTAAAATAGTCTAATTGGGGGGTACAAGTGTTGTGTTGGTTGACTCTTCAGAGGTTGCATGGCGGTGTTTCATGCAACCCATTCATGCATTTATAGTAACGACAATTTACTATAAAACCAAAAAAAACTAACACTACTAACCCTTTTTTTCATATCCAGGTAATTTATTAACCTACATTTCTTGGGTACATAAGAACAAAGGTAACTGCAGAAGGTATATTGGCCCATACGAGGCAGCTCCTATTTATAACTACCCAATCCCATTCATATATACATGTCCAACCCACGCTTGAAACGGGGTAGGTCACCCCCCCCCTCCCCTTCCCTCTTCCTCCTCCTTCCCCCCTTTCCCACATGTCCCTTCACCCCTTCCACTTCTAGCAGCCTCACTAACCCCTTTTCCACACACTACAGGAGTATCGTCGCCCCGAGCCTCGCTGGCAGGCCGTCCCCTGCCACCGGCGTCCCTGGTGGCCAAGCACCTGCACGGGGGACATGTACAGACCCACGCCCACGTCTCCCTACTGGCCGCCGTGTGGGGCCAGTACCTCGCCCACGACCTCTCCAGGCCGCTCGTCGCAGAAGGAGTCAGAGGCGAAAGGGTAAGTTCCCCCTCCCAATTAAATGCATTTAATTTTTATATGCGAATAGTTCAATTGACTGAAGGTGGTGGTGGTGTTGGGCCATCAACCTCTGGAGGGTTATTAAGGCAGCATAAGTGCTTATTGACCAACCACTAAGTGTTGTATACCTTGGTCCAGAAGTAAAATGAAATCGGAGTGTAATATTTATATACACAGAGAAGCTGGGTATACACACCTTTCGCCAGTATGCCCCCTTGAGTTCTCGTTTTCTATATCTGTGCGAGTTTTAGATAATGTATATAAATACATGCTAGCTATTAAGTTTTGTTTCTAAGGCTGTGGTTTGGAGTTGGATTGTTATAATTATACATTTGTTGGAACAAAGATAAAATATAACATTTGTTTATTTTTTTAGCTACGGTGTTGTGGATTGGTAGAGAAGCACCCGGAGTGCTTCCCCATAGTGGAGGGTGACCGCTGCTGGGAGTATGCTAGGACAGCTCTAGCCACCACCAGTGACTGTGCTCTAGGTGAGTGTGTGTCTCTCTCTCTCTCTCTCTCTCTCTCTCTCTCTCTCTCTCTCTCTCTCTCTCTCTCTCTCTCTCTCTCTCTCTCTCTCTCTCTCTCTCTCTCTCTCTCTCTCTCTCTCTCTCTCTCTCTCTCTCTCTCTCTCTCTCTCTCTCTCTCTCTCTCTCTCTCTCTCTCTCTCTCTCTCTCTCTCTCTCTCTCTCTCTCTCTCTCTCTCTCTCTATCATTCTCTCTCTCTCTCTCTCTCTCTCTCTATCATTCTCTCTCTCTCTCTCTCTCTATCATTCTCTCTCTCTCTCTCTCTCTCTCTCTCTCTCTCTCTCTCTCTCTCTCTCTCTCTCTCTCTCTCTCTCTCTCTCTCTCTCTCTCTCTCTCTCTCTCTCTCTCTCTCTCTCTCTCTCTCTCTCTCTCTCTCTCTCTCTCTCTCTCTCTCTCTCTCTCTCTCTCTCTCTCTCTCTCTCTCTCTCTCTCTCTCTCTCTCTCTCTCTCTCTCTCTCTCTCTCTCTCTCTCTCTCTCTCTCTCTCTCTCTCTCTATCATTCTCTCTCTCTCTCTCTCTCTCTCTCTCTCTCTCTCTCTCTCTCTCTCTCTCTCTCTCTCTCTCTCTCTCTCTCTCTCTCTCTCTCTCTCTCTCTCTCTCATCATCTCTCTCTCTCTCTCTCTATCATTCTCTCTCTCTCTCTCTCTCTATCATTCTCTCTCTCTCTCTCTCTCTATCATTCTCTCTCTATCATTCTCTCTCTCTCTCTCTCTCTCTCTCTCTCTCTCTCTCTCTCTCTCTCTCTCTCTCTCTCTCTCTCTCTCTCTCTCTCTCTCTCTCTCTCTCTCTATCATTCTCTCTCTCTCTCTCTCTCTCTCTCTCTCTCTCTCTCTCTCTCTCTCTCTCTCTCTCTCTCTCTCTCTCTCTCTCTCTCTCTCTCTCTCTCTCTCCTAATCTCTCGTTCTTTCGGCAGGCGTTCGCGAGCAGCTGAACGGAGCCACGGCGTTCCTGGACGGATCGGCGATTTACGGTTCGTCCAAGAAAGAATCTGATGCCCTGAGACTGTTCGAAACGGGCCACCTCAAGACTCAAGCTGATTGGCTGTTACCCCGAGCGACGTCCCACACCTGCAAGGACGCTATGATGTATGTATGATGAGTCGCGGGAGTATATATATACCCCTGTATGATGAATGTATAGTATGTATGATGAGTCTATACCAAGTATGATGAATATATAACGCTATCACCTCAAGTCTTGCTGTATTACAACATCAACACCCTTCACCACCTCCTCCTCCTCCTCCTGCAGGTGCTTCGAGGGCGGGGACCTGCGCCTCAACACCCACGCCGGCCTGGCCGCCCTTCAGACGCTGCTGGTCCACGAGCACAACCGCGTCGCCTCCCTCCTGTCGGAGCTCAACCCGCAGTGGGGGGACGCCACCAGCTTCCAGGAGGCTCGCGCCATCGTCACAGCCCAACTGCAGCACATCACCTACAAGGAGTTCCTCCCCACGCTGCTGGGGGCGAAGGTGCGTTAGGGGGTTGGGGGGATGAGGCGCCACTAAGGGGGTACTATTATGTCGATTTAGGCGCGTTCTGGGATCCTCACGGACGTAGGTTCGAACCCTCATCACGGCCCTTGTGGATTTGTTCATTTACTATTATGTAGGTTATGTTCAGCTGAGATGTGAGAATGTTGAATGGGATCGAATTCATATCTCCTGGATTCGCCAGACAGTGAGTGCCTCGGTGGTTTCCTGTAGACCAAGCATGTTGTTGTGGTTCCATTGTGCATCAGCTGGTACATTGTGCCTCTGGGCCAGGAGTCAACAGGCATTTACACGTCTAATTGCGAAATCTCTGCATCTTTTCTCAGTCTTCGGCGGCTTTGTTTACGTGTATTACAACAGTTTACCAGCATCGAAACTTCCCAGTCAAATGTTATTATAATCAATAACCCCTTAACACTACCTCATAGTCATAAAGGGGGACAGGGCAAATGGGGGGGGGAGTGGGACCTTTGACAAGCCACCGGCTTCCTGTCTTCGTCGAGGCCACTAGTGTTAGTGGCCCTCAGGTAATTAATCACCCCTTTCCCCTGGTACTTCGGAGCTCACAATATGATTAATGTAAACAAAGCCGCCTGAGATTGAGAAAAGATGTACAAGTTCTCAGTCTCGTAGATGTGTAACTGCTTTTTGACTCCAGCCGCCAGCCAGGCCGCTCCAGTTAGCCTTTAGATAAGATAATTATCGAGAGAAAGCTGCTGTAGATTATGTGACCACATTAGCACAGGGAAGGGATATGGAGACAGGAGCTGGGATGTGAGGACGGAGGGAAGGAACAGTACCCAATCCTTTAGACCGTCGGGGATCCCATAAAGTCGAATTGTTCTGACTCTTCTTGCCGAATGTGTGTGTGTGTTCATATACACTCGGATGCCCAGTTCAGATGTAGAATGAACCTGTTCTGGGACTCGAACCCTGGTCGCAATATCTACACTTTAAGAGACACTGCTAACACTTTTGTGATGAGTGTGCTATTCGGTGGGTAAGTATGTTTATGTTCCAGTGAACATAAGCATATTCACATAGGTTGAGTGTGAGTACTCATACTCGGGCTGTGTTCAGTATGAACACAGCCCGGGCTGTGTATAGTATATACCCCGGCTGTGTATAGTATATAGCCCAGAGTAGCTCGGGTAGCTTAGTAAGGTAGAAGGTGTATCTAGGGTTGAGGATGAGTGGTATGTTAATATGAGCTCTCTACTCTACAGACAGCCCAAGAGAATGAGCTCATCCCTCTAGCGGCAGGATTCTACCACGACTATGCTATCAACATTGAACCCGGCGTGTTCAACTCTGTGGCCACAGCTGTCCTGCAGCTGGTGCTGACCTTGCTGCCCGACCACCTGCCTCTGGGGCACGAGCAGCTCCCTCTCGCCATGACCGCCCTCAACATGTCCATCCTGTACACACCCAGAGCCTACGAGGAGCTAATCCGTGGGATGGTCAACTCTAACTCGCTGACCTTTGACCCAGCTGTGAGCGACTCCATCCGTGGGTATCTTGGAGGGCTGGACTTGGTGGCACGGAAGATTCAAAGTGGACGAGACCACGGACTGCCACCGTATGTCGTGTGGCGTCCACTCTGCGGCCGCCGCCCGGCCCACAGCTTCGACGATCTACACGACGCCATCGACAAGGAACACATCGTAAAACTTCAGTCGATCTACTCCAACGTGGCTGACATCGACCTCTTCACTGGCATCATCTCCGAGCGGCCGCAGGAAGGGGCGCTGGTGGGTCCCACGGCCTCCTGCCTCCTCGCCCTCCAGTTCAAGGTCCTCCGCCAGACAGACAGATACTGGTACGAAACCGACCTTCCTCCTGCAGCGTTCACCAAAGAACAATTATTTGAAATCCGGAAGGCATCAATGGCACGGTTGGTGTGCAACAACGTGCCAGGCCTGGAAGAAGTCACCCGCTCCGCCTTCCTCGCCGCTGACCAGTTCCTGAATGCACCGGTTCCCTGCCACAACTTTGACAACATAAACCTTGGCGCCTGGAAGACCCGTGGGAAGGTTGTGGTCGCCGAGGACATCCTTCACAGCGTGGTGGAAAAAGGTAAACAATCTGTCGAAAAGCGAAGACAAATGGAGAAGCTGATCTTCGAGCAGGGTTTGGTGGCGGGGTCGAAGTCCCCCGTAGGTTCTGCCTATGCTAACAACAAGCCCAATCCAACTTCGCTGATCCTTGCCAACACATCGGTGCTGCTGGAGGCCACAAGCAAGGAGCTCTTGACCATCATGCACGACCGTAGAGTCCGCAGGCAGATCCAAGGCCTCAGCAACGAATTCGATTCCCTGGATCTAAACTTACCCTCAGTCGACATCTCCGGACTCGTGCCGCCTGCTCCTCTGATCCGCTCGTGCAGGGAAACAGAAGAACACCGAGCATGCGACGCCCGTAATCGCTTCAGGACCATCAGCGGCCACTGCAATAACCTCAGACGACCGGACTTCGGTCGCTCCAACTCTGTCTTCGCACGCATGCTTCCTGCCGGCTACGACGACGGCATCTCCGAGCCTCGCAAGCGGTCGGTCTCTGGTGACACGCTGCCGTCACCCCGAACTATCTCCACCACTATACACAACGACATCTCTCATCTTCACGCCCGCTACACCCTCATGGTAATGCAGTTCGGCCAGTTCTTGGACCACGACATCACCTTCACGCCCGTCAACAAGGGCTTCCAAAACTCTATCCTAGACTGCAGAGATTGTGAGGCGCAGCAGAGAGTCCATCCAGAGTGCTTGCCCATCCGCGTCCCGGACAACGATCCCTTCTATCCCTCCGTCAACATCTCTTCCGGAAGACCCTTCTGCATCGCTTTTACCAGGTACGCCCAGCCTATTGTGACAGCCATACCTCAGCTACCTTATCATGATATATATTTCTAAAGTTTATTAAAATAAAATACAGTATTGCCTTAAAATCCATCTCCAACATGACCCCATACACCCTCCTAATCACATACTTTTGACTTATGACCCCCCCCCCCTCATGACCACCTCTATTGGCCTATAATTGATCATCACCTCCCTTGACCTATAACCACTCTTGGTACCCGTTGCTTGATCGCCAACTCTCTTTCTCCAGATCTCTGCCGGGTCAACAGACACTTGGAGCTCGAGAACAGATCAACCAGAACACCGCCTACCTCGACGCTTCGCACATCTACGGTCAGGAGTTATGTGGCGCCCGAGAGCTTCGGATAAATCAAAACGGTCACCTGAATGTCACGAACCACCCCATCCGTGGCAAGCCTCTTCTGCCCCAGGTACGTTGCATGTGTGCTTGCGTGGGACTTGTCAGTAGCTGTGTAAAGCCAGGAAAGTCTGTTACTGTTACCGAGTCTTTGAGTAACCTTGTCTTTGACAGGCCTCTTCCAGAACACGTTTATGTACAGAGATTTTTCCAGTCAGTCAATTCAGAACCGGAGTCACAGCTTTCATATAAATGTTGAAAATAAATGAGAATAACATGCCTGAAAACACCTAACCCAACCCGCACGTGCGAAATGAAAGCAACGACTTGATAACGGATCCAAGACGGACCGAAACGTCGTCGCTTTCATTACATACAAAACCCTTCATCCCAGTATATCACATGTATATATATCACCGGTCTCTGTTTCCCCCAATGTTTGCAGGCGACAGGTGTTCCGGAATGCAAAGCAGATTCGGGTCGGTGCTTCATGGCAGGCGACACCCGGTCGTCGGAGCAGCCGGGCCTGGCCGTCGTCCACACCATCTGGATGAGAGAACACAACAGACTCGCCGACGGTCTGGCCGCGGTCAGTACGCAACCTCCGGCATTTACTGCTTTATATGAGGGAAATTTTGATTGCTAGAACTAGGTGGGAGTTGGATAAGTCAATCAGTGAATGGGTGCACTAAACCTTCTCCAAATTAGTTGATAATTTTTAGGCTACTGCTCTTTATGTCGGGCTTTCTTTATAAAAGATAAGTTGCTCTTTTACTTTTCTGGTGAGCATATTTTTGTAATTTGTTCTCTTCTGGGTGATACCATAAATAACACTCATCAGATGCGTTCTCCTCACCTTGTGCAAGCTGTGTCTAAATCTTCCCTCTAGGTGAACCGTCACTACTATAGACTCTAGAGGTATATATATACCTCTAGATACCTCTATATACCACCAAAGTGTGTATACCAACACCTTCATCTAGATCCTTCTACAATGCAAAAAAAAAGATAATTTTTTACACAAACAACCTCATTTAATCCATCCATTGGAAGAAAAGTATCTTCCAATTCTTACACAAACGCCCTCATACTTCTCTCTTTAAAATCCAGGTGAATCCACATTGGGACGACGAACGACTGTACCAGGAAGCCAGGAGGATCTTGAGTGGAGAGTGGCAACACGTCGTCTACAACGAGTTCCTGCCCCGTGTCCTGGGCTGGAATGCCATGCGATTATACTCCCTGACACTGAAACCTGATGGGTATTATGGAGGTGAGTGGGGGCCCCTACGGCTTGCTGGAGCTGCTGCTGTGGCTGCCTGGGGAGTGTTTGGTGGCGTCTGTGTGGCGCTTGGTGGCGTCTGTGTGGTGCTTGGTGGCGTCTGTGTGGTGCTTGGTGGCGTCTGTGTGGCGCTTGGTGGCGTCTGTGTGGTGCTTAGTGGCGTCTGTGTGGTGCTTGGTGGCGTCTGTGTGGTGCTTGGTGGCGTCTGTGTGGTGCTTAGTGGCGTCTGTGTGGTGCTTGGTGGCGTCTGTGTGGCGCTTGGTGGCGTCTGTGTGGTGCTTGGTGGCGTCTGTGTGGCGCTTGGTGGCGTCTGTGTGGTGCTTGGTGGCGTCTGTGTGGTGCTTAGTGGCGTCTGTGTGGTGCTTAGTGGCGTCTGTGTGGTGCTTGGTGGCGTCTGTGTGGCGCTTGGTGGCGTCTGTGTGGCGCTTGGTGGCGTCTGTGTGGCGCTTGGTGGCGTCTGTGTGTTCTTGGGTCTGGTATATATGACAAATGAAGGTAGGGAAGGAGTTTGTGTCTGGAATTGTGTGTAATCAGCTTGGGATGATGTTGAGTAATGCTTGGGTCGTCTTGGTGGTTCTAAAGGTGATTAACATACTTTTACAAGCTCATGTTATTGTTCCATCACAAACGTTGTATAATTAATGCATTCTTGGGCACAAGTTCAATATATCATCAAGTGTTCCAGTATTCATACAGTAATTTACAGAGTTCATCATACCTCACCCAGGAGGGCGAAGGTCAGTCAGTATGGGACATTCTACAATATAATGTTCAAGAGAGTGCATGTTTTCTCTTTCACAAAGTTGACACATTGTGTACTCGACATTTGGGTTTTGAGAAAGCTGCCAGATACGTCTATATCCCAGGTTGCTGTAGCTGTAGCATTAAACATAATGTTTAATGCTACAGCTTTCAGGTCTTTGTGAATTTGTTAGGTCGGTGAGATTTTCATTAGATATTTGTTTAAGTATTCTCTTTGTCACTGCTAATGAAACATCCATATAATTTTCTACAACTGTGGTGGTCTGCTACAGGCTGTCTTTGCAAGCACATCAAGAGTGTCATGCCTTGAGATGCCAACATGTAATGGTATCCAAAGGAATATAATTTCAAATATGTTTTCTTTAGCAGCTAAAACATTTATTCGAATATGACTGACTATTTTCTGGGTGGTACTACTATGTGCGTTCAATGCCAGGAGTGCACTCTGCGAGTCACAGTATATATTTCGTATATCTTATACATAAGTATAATATATCTTATTATATTATATTCATACTTATTATGTCATAAGTATAAATATATCTTATATACTTATACTGTATATCTTATACAGTATACCCTTTGTCTTTTAGAAATTCAGTGTATACGCTTGCAAGTTCAGTTTGAGGTGTACTTATACGTGTGTGTGTACTCACCTCTATATGCGTGTGAAAAATAAGCTCCTGGTCCCCGCCTCTGAACCTTAAATGACATGTTTCGTATCTCTCCCATGCAGGTTCTGTCATATTTATGTTTGAATTGGTATATGTAGATGTGTATACCTGTGCTTCTGCCCCCCTCCCCCCTCCCTTTCCATCTGTATCTCTTGGCTTCTACCATCCTTTCCCTTCAAACCTTCACCCCTTCCCACTCCAATCACCAGCAACCACCCTTCCATTCCTCACGAACCACCCCTCTTCACGTCCCCCACTCATCATTCCCTTCCAGCTTTCGTTCACAAACTTCCCTTCCCTCTCCTAACCATCGCCAGCACCTTCTTCACCCCCCCCCCCCCCACCAGCAACCCCACTAACCCTTCTCTCCTAATCCTTCCTGACAGAGTACGATGGTAACTGCAACCCAGGCGTCCTGAACGAGTTTGCGTCCGCGGCGTTCCGTTTCGGCCATTCCTTGATCCGTCGGAACTTGCTCCGGATGGACACCTCCTTCAGCGAGAACCACGACGGAGTCGAGCTGAGGAGGAGCTTCTTCAACCCGGATATGCTGTGAGTAGTGGTAGTCTTCTGTGAGTAGTGGTAGTCTTCTGTGAGTAGTGGTAGTCTTCTGTGAGTAGTGGTAGTCTTCTGTGAGTAGTGGTAGTCTTCTGTGAGTAGTGGTAGTCTTCTGTGAGTAGTGGTAGTCTTCTGTGAGTAGTGGTAGTCTTGTGTGAGTAGTGGTAGTCTTCTGTGAGTAGTGGTAGTCTTGTGTGAGTAGTGGTAGTCGTCTGTGAGTAGGGTTAGTCGTCTGTGAGTAGTGGTAGTCTTCTGTGAGTAGTGGTAGTCTTCTGTGAGTAGTGGTAGTCTTCTGTGAGTAGTGGTAGTCTTCTGTGAGTAGTGGTAGTCGTCTGTGAGTAGGGTTAGTCTTCTGTGAGTAGTGGTAGTCTTCTGTGAGTAGTGGTAGTCTTCTGTGAGTAGTGGTAGTCTTCTGTGAGTAGTGGTAGTCTTCTGTGAGTAGTGGTAGTCTTCTGTGAGTAGTGGTAGTCTTCTGTGAGTAGTGGTAGTCTTCTGTGAGTAGTGGTAGTCTTCTGTGAGTCGTGGTAGTCTTGTGTGAGTCGTGGTAGTCTTGTGTGAGTAGTGGTAGTCTTCTGTGAGTAATCTGTGTCTGTCTGTCTGTCTGTCTGTCTGTCTGTCTGTCTGTCTGTCTGTCTGTCTGTCTGTCTGTCTGTCTGTCTGTCTGTCTGTCTGTCTGTCTGTCTGTCTGTCTCTGCATCACCTCCAAATCACTCTGGCATGCCCCACCTTTTCTCCCTTACCCACAATTCACCCCTCACAACCTCTAACCTTCCCCCCATCTCTTCCGCCAACAGGCTGGAGTTCCAAATGATCGACGAGCTGGTGCGAGGATTGATTTCCACGCCCATGGAGACCCTGGACAACTTCCTGACTGAGGAGATCACCAACCACCTCTTCGAAGACGCTACCATCCCGTTCTCGGGACTCGATCTCGCTGCCCTCAACATCCAGCGAGCGCGCGAACACGGCATCCGGCCTTACAACGAGTACAGAGCCATCTGCAACCTCAAGCGAGCCAGAACCTTCAGTGACCTGAGCAGGGAGATCAAGCCGGAGTTGATTGAAAAGTTGCAGAGGGTGAGTGTTGATCGCCGGGTTCATGTGGGGGGATAGGGGTAGTGTTGGGCTTGATGGAGGATGGTGGTTGATGTATGGGATTTAGTTAGAGGATGGTGGAGGTTGATGGGGCTAGTGGTGGATAGCACTGTAGAGAGGAAGGGTATATGTTAACTTGGTTGGAACTGAAGTATAGTTTGGGTCCTAAGCTACTCTCTAACCATCGCTGTGTCCGCAGGTCTACAACAGCGTGGAGGATATCGACCTCTTCACTGGCGGGTTGTGTGAGACGCCGCTCCAAGGAGGCATTATCGGCCCAACTTTCGGCTGCATCATAGGCCTACAATTCTCCTTCCTCAGGAAATGCGACAGATTCTGGTAAGATTACCTCGTAAGAGCTATACACGCCTGAACAAATCCACCACGGCCGTGATGAGGGTTCGAACCTACGTCCGAGAGGATACCAGACGCGCCTTAATCGACTTCGTAGCACAGTCGATTAAGGTGCGTCTGGGATCCTCTCGGACGTAAGTTCGAACCCTCATCACTGCCCCTTGTGGATTTGTTCATTTGATGCATCACGCTATTGTGATTTCTGTGTGTATAGACGTCTGGTTTCCAGCATGTATGATAGACAACATAGTTAGATGCACAACCACGTCGCCTGGGCCTTCCCCGCCCCTTTCTCCCATGTTTGCGTGTGGAGAAAACACACGAACGCTCATTCTTGTCCTGAATTCGAATTCTTGTCCCGAACTCGCATTCCCCCTGCCCTCTATTGTAGCTATTTAGCAAATCTATTCCAGTAGTGGCCATGGGAGATCCCCATGACTGATGACGTCAGAGCGACACCACACGCCGCCCACGTGTTGTTGATGAAGATTAAGCCTCCGCAAGAGGCGGCACGGGCATGAATAACCCGTAGGTGGAAGATTTTTTGGAGTGACTGTGATGTTTGGTAAATTGGTCGTGTAACATCTTGAAATGTCTTTGAGTCTCCGTAGGTCGTCCCACAGAGTGTGTGGTTCCTGTGTTGGAGACACGAAGCCTGTACTAAGGCTGATCTAGATCCGCGGAGGCTAACTACTGCCCTTGCCCAGGATGCCCCCCACAACAGTTGCTTAACTCCCGGGCACTTATTTGCTGCTTGGTGAACAGAGGCCGCCTCTCTTCCCTTATCCAGTGAGACATGGTTCATATATCCCCCTTTCCCTGTACAATATCTCTCTCTCCTCTAAGCAGACGAGGAGTCACAATAACGTGGCTGAAATATGTTGACCAAACCACACACTAGAAAGTGAAGGGACGACGACGTTCCGGTCCGTCCTGGACCATTCTCAAGTCGATTGTGATTCTCTCTCCTCTAAGCTAGTGGAACATGATAGCTCTGTTCTTTAAGGACAAGATAAGTATCTCCTAAGACTTCGGTATAAGAGACCTATGCCTGTGTGGTATGATTTTACTTTAATTTACCTGAGTGCCATTTATTTCCAGTGGTCTCGACGAGGATAGGAAGGCGGCACCTTGCCAAAGGTGATTTTATCCAGGTGAATTTTGAAACTCTGCAGAGTTTTTGAATTTAAGGCTTCGGTGGGTAGACACGAAGCCTGTCCACCCACTCGGGTAGGCGGTTCCGTGGGTTTATAACCCTGTGGGTGAAAAAGTATCTTCTGTTTTCTGCCCTACATTTTGGCTGGTTAAGCTTGAACTGTTGCTCCTTATTTGTGTTACATCCGACCTTTCGAAGAAGTTTTCTGGATCAACATCCTCCAAATTGTTCAGTATTGTAAAAGTTTCGATCAGATCAGCTATGTCATGTCTGGTTTACAGAGTTGTTAGTCCTGTGGTCCTCTTTAACCCCACCTTTTCTAGATCCTTTTACTGTACAATAGCTGTGTCTCTCCGTATTTCCTGACCTCCCTCTTTGAGAGGGCAAATATATTTTTGGTGCGGCATTTTATCGATGTCTAACCGGTTCTCTCCTTAGGTACGAGACGTCGAACCCCAACATCCGGTTCACTGAGCAGCAGCTGAACGAGATCAGAAAGGTAACAATGGCGTCTCTTATCTGCCAGAACTGTGATGTGGTGGAACAGATCCAGCGAGGAGTCTTCGACATGCCCCATGACTTCTTGTGAGTATACAGGGAAGGTGGAACTGCTGGGAGGGAGGGAGGGATTATTATAATAATAATAATAATAGTAATTTGTATTTGCAAGAAGGTACAATGGGTTGGTGAGATTACATAAGACTGGTATTTTTACATTCATGCAAAGACCCCCTAACACGTTTCGGGCAGGTCCTTAATCTAACATATCAGGCAAGATGAAGAGGTACATTGTAGCAAGGTTTTATGTCAACAAATAACTACAACATCAATTGACAGAGTGATTACACTGGTAAGGATCTATGTCTTAAGTACTAATATTGGGGAAGTGGGTAGTACAAGATACAGTGTAAGTCTGAAGCACAAAGTAGGAAACTATGAGGATGAAATTAGGTAATTTTTGGTTTTACTTTTGAACATGGGTTGGAAAGGGCTTGGACAATTTTTGTAATTCGTCAGGGAGTGAGTTCCAAAGACTGAGACCTTTTATTTGCATGGAGTGTTTCCACAGATTTAGCCTGTGGGAAGGACTGAGGGAAGAGGAGTTGGAGGGAGGGAAAAGAGGCTGGAGGGACGGATGGAAGAGGGGGCTAGAGGTAGGGAAATAAGAGAGGTTGGAGGGCGGGAGTGAGGGAGTGAGGGAAGAGGAGCTGGAGAGAAGGAGTGAGAGGAGACGGAACGTAAAGTAGGAAGGACTAGGTGGAGTGAGAGAACGTGAAGGAGAGACAGTGATTAAAACACCTCTCAACTTTCTTTTTGTTATTGTATTAACGAATGAGGGACGCCAGATGGTGAGGGAGAGAAGGGTAGAAGGTTTTCACTTCGCCTCACTCTATCTCAAGTCCTCCAGAGAAGGAGAGGAACCTGATGGCCTTCATGCATGAGGATTGATGAGGAACTCTGTTGACCTTTGATCCATGTTAACTTGTGATGACCTGCCTTGACCCCACGTTGCTCTGCGATGACCTGATATCACTCATGTTGACCTGTTTCAGGAACCCCCGTGTGCCGTGTGGAGCCGTTGGGAAGGTGAGCTTGCAGCTGTGGCGAGACTCGAACACGTGCGTCATCGGAAACCAGGCCGTGGCGGTGGGCGAGACCCGGACGCCCACGCCCTGCACCCTCTGCACCTGCACCTCGTCTGGCTCCCAGTGCCAGACGCTCAAGGTCAACTGCTTCGAACTACGGTCTCGCTTCGGCCTTGACGAGATCCTGAGAGATAATGTGTGCCGAGCGCAGTGTGGAAATATCTTGGACCCTAACCGCCCTCCGCAACCCACACCATCGCCTCGTCCACCCTCCGCCAGCGTCTTCAATGAAGGGTTGACCCCTCCTCCTCCACCTATCCCACCACAACCTCAGCCAATCCCCTCTAGAGGTCGCCCCCTTCCCCCGCCTCCTTCCGCAACAGGTCCAGTTTTCCGCCCCCCACCGCCTCCCCAGAACAACCCACTCAGATTCCCTTTCCCAATTCCTCCTTTCCTAAGATCGTTATTTAGCTAGGTCTGCACGTCCATATCTTACACACACATGATTTTACAGTACACGCAAGAGGTAGTCTTGCGCCACACATGGGATAGGATGGAACTATAGGTATGCATGGCAGGCGTTCAGAATATATTTCTGTCACCAGTACACTCCAGAATCCTCCCCTTATCTTTATGGATTCAAGTTCTCAAGCCCGACCATCGTCCAGCGAGAGAGAGAAAACTAATAATGTTATTTTCAGTTCCATTCTCTCCAACCTCTAAAAAATGTTTACCAATTTTTGCTCGATAACTCTAGCCTGTGCCACAGGAGTAATAAGTATGTAGAGCACATATCAGTTCCATAAATTTCCATTCCAGACCTAATATTTTCCACAGATACAAATTCCGGGCATCAGCCTATTACGTGGATTTGTTTCCAGGTCTTATTCTATTCCATGGATTACCATTCCAGACCTCGACCAAGACGACAAATTTCCGTAACAAATCTCGAATTAGACTACAGATTTGTGTATCAGGCCTCGACCTCGTCTACAGAGTTCCATTCCAGGCCTTGATCTAACCTACACATTACCATTACAGATGTTGACCTAGCCTATAAATTACCATTCCATGCTTCTATGTCTTTCTTGGGTCTTGCTGATTCAATGGGTCAGAAATATTACAATAGAGATTCTTTAATTTTGTACGATTTCAGCCATGTTTAGGCTACATGTTTGACGCTTAACTTGCTTGTACCCAAGAAAGACATTTCCTGGCAAATCTCAAGTTCAGAGGAGTGATATGTCTTTCCAGGACTCTTGTGTGTCCAAGAAACCGAAGCCATAGTATGCTCACAACCAGTCTCTTCATCTCGCAGGAAACAAAATAGTGAATTGAGAGGCTCTTGTGTGTGAACTTGTTATACAGATTCCCCTTGGAAGCCTAGGCTTCCTGCGATTTCCATTCATGTATGAAGATATATATATATATATATATATATATTATTTGTTTTGTATATTTACACCATAAGTTATTTATCCTGTAGCAACTCTTTGAACTAGACTGTGTATATATATACATATACATATGCATGCAAGAAAGATATCCTCATTAAATATCAGCTGAACTCCTCTATGATGGGTTCAAAAGAATGGGAGAGTTCAATTCTTTATTCATTATACGGAAATACCATTCATTATACGGTATGTGTGTGTGTGTGGAGCATTTTCCACAATCGTAACTGTATTTTTTGTGACTATAGACTATATATATATAATTGTTGATATGTATCTGAGTATCTGAATTTGCATGGTTATTCAGAAGTGTTTAAAAGTCATTCAAGTAATTCTTCCGTGGAAGGACTCAGCTCCCGGATCTCGATCCTCTTTTCTTTCTTATTCTTGTTAAAGTTCTTTTACAAACATGTGAAAAAAAAACATTGTGAGGTGGCTGGTCCATTGAGCTGCAATGTAAAATAATATATACACCTTATATATATATATATATATATATATATATATATATATATATATATATATATATATATATATATATATATATATATATATATATATATATATATATATATATATATATATATGTGTGTTACTAAAGAAATAATTTCCAGGAAAACAGATACATCCAAAATTGCAATCTCTGTGGAGCCTAACCTTCATAATTGATCTAAATTTTCTTGCTCTGTTTTTGGACCAATTTGTGCTGTATTTTCCACCGCCATCTCTTCCCATCCCAAGTTAGCAGACCTTTAACTTAATGTACATAATTGTGAATGTGTATGTGTATATATTATGACGAATCTATGCTGGGTTGACGTGGCCTAGATGAGCTCGACGATTTAATGCCTCAAAAGTCATTAGAGGATTCAATGCCTCTAAATAGTCATTAGGAGGAATCCGACACCTTAAGACAGTCATTTCATGATTCAACACCTCAGTACAGTATTCAACACAGGATTTAACACCTCAAAATAGTCATTAGAGGGATCCAACGCGTTAGCAATTTTTCATTCAGCTTGACTAGAATTTCCTCACACACACATATATATATATATAAATATATACAAAAAAGTGACGAGCAATTCACCGTGTCAGAGAACTCTTATTAATCCCTACCAATGACTACCTTTTCTGTTTTCTCGAGTATAGGAGGCCACTTAGTCAATATATGCGATTACTGCCAAGCGTTTGTTAATGTTAGTCCTGTCTCCCTTACAACCCCCCCAAAAATAGGGATGTTTTATCTGTTCTTCCTATTCCGCTTCTAAAACTCTAGTCTGTTTTATTTTATTTCTCTTCTACATATACTTATTTATCAATCGTTATCAATCATTTGTTAAACTTTGAAGCAAATCGGTATTCTGTTTGTATCTGTGATTGTAATTCTGTTTTTAAACTTCCCTTCTCATAATGCTTGTTAACATGCTTGTCCTAACACCAGTTACAGCTCATTTATGTAGTTAGAACATAAACGAAATGTAGATACGAATTCATTATTTAACATTAGTATATGTAAAAAAAAGGTTTGTGATTTTTATATCAATACTCGTTGCTGCTGTTACTTCCCGCTCAATAAGATGCGATGTATTCTTAAGTATTAATTAATCTCTTAAAATAGTCCACAGAAACTACAAAATTTTCCCTCCCTGCCAAACATTCTCTTAACACCATATATAATCTCTACCAACACCCTATAATTTCTTTCAACACCCAAAAAATCTTTTAGATCTCGATAAAATCTTTTACAGTCATGATATCTTCATACACACATGTGTGAAGCTATCGTGTTAAAGCACCTAGCACTTTTATTTTTGTTCCAACACCCTATAATCTCTTCCAACCCGCCCTAAATCTCCCTAGAAACTCTCTACCCTTAACCACTAAACTCACACATTTGGGAGGTAGAAATAGCCTAAGCTACTCTATCCCTTTGAGATGTATTTCTTGTCTCAATAAACATACTTAAACTCACACAACCACCATTCTCTCTCCCTCCCTACCCTACCCCCCTGAAAATACAAATTGCCCGTTAAATCCCCAATTAAATCTACAAATTGCCCGTTAAATCCCCCAATTAAATTGAGATTGTTGATTAATCCTATTATCCTCACGCCCCCCTGCCATCTGTTCCCTAGCCTAGGCCACCTTGTCCCAGCATGCGGAGTGTTGAGACGTCTGTGATTATTGTTAGATGTAATATGTATGATGACGATGATTGTTCCCCGGGATGGTAGCCTACCAGGGTGCCAATTGCTTGTTCCCTCCTTTGGATTATTAGCAATCTATTGCCAGTATTAATATTGTCACGTGATATCCAATAAACGTGTGAAATGTAGAATTATATGTTTTTGTTTATCCTTTGTGTTTGGACGTAGTGTGTGTGTGTGTGGAAGTACTGTGTGTGTGTGTGTGTGTGTGTGTGTGTGTGTGTGTGTGTGTGTGTGTGTGTGTGTGTGTGTGTGGAAGTACTGTGTGTGTGTGTGTGTGTGTGTTACGGACTCATCGCCTTCGTCAGTGTGTAGGATGGCAATTCCAGCGCCATCTATGGATCTGTATTCAAACTCCCCTGAAATCGGACGTCACGATTGATAAAGATTAAGCCACCCAAGAGGTGGCACGGGCATGAATAGCCCGTAATGGACGTCACGTGGACAACGCCATCTATTAGTGGTGGTGTGATAGTGACAAATGGCTCAAGGTTCCTGCCTTGGTTAACGAGAGAGGTCGCTGTGGATGACCTCTGGTGAGATGGCGGCTCAAGATCAGCGCCATCTGTTGTGCTACGGAGCACAATGTCAACTCCCCAGTGAATAAGTGTTACTTCCTGGTTTCACCAGTATTGTCTGATGACGAAGTGTGGCAGCAGTGGTACTGGAGACGGCAGTTTACCTCGGGCAGCCGACGTTCTTCTGACTTGGGGAGACTAAGCAAGACGACTAAGTAAGCCGCCGCCGATCTAAAGCAGTGTGTTGTTTGTTGTTGTTTTAGATTTAGCTACTCAGAACGAAGTGTCTATGTAGCACGGGCTATGGTGAGCCCGTAATTAGCAGTGTGTTGTTGTTGTTGTTATAGACTCAGCTACTCGAAACAAGTTCCAATCAGCACGGGCTACGGTGAGCCCGTAGTGTACTTACCTGGCACCGTAGCAGTGTGTTGTTGTTGTTGTTTTAGATTCAGCTACTCGAAACAAGTTCCAGTAGCACGGGCTATGGTGAGCCCGTAAGTGGAGGCTCTTTGGAGCCATTATCTGTATCAGTGACTGATACTAGAGATGTGGCGATGGATGGGGGTCTTCATGATGGTTTTCAGCCTGGAGGGCTGGCTATACCAGTTATGGAGCTGGTGGGGTTAGTGTAGACCTCTAGGTTTTCCGTTTTTTCTTTGGCTGCGACTTTGTCTGAGCAGTGCTGTCGTTGGAGTTTGGTGACGTGGCCTCCATGAGGAAGTCTTGAACCGTGTAGGTGCCGTACTTGTGATGCGGCGGTGGAGCTCCTCGTCTGAGGAGTCCGTAACCTCCGTAGTGGGCGTTTTTGTCTTTCGCCTCGCAGCCTTAGGTAGGTTTAGGTGTCGTTGATTGGTGGTTGTAGCTATTTCAGGAGCGCTGGTGGTGCTGTTATCGTTTGTAGACAGCACGTCTGCTAGCGCGGCTGCTGAGATAGTAATGGTAGGAGTGTTGGGAGCTGGAGAAGGAATTACCTCTGTTTGTGTCGCCCGGGTCATGGGCGAGTCGGTGTTGAAGTTGGTCGTCCTGGTGGTAGTCTCCGGAGTGGTAGAGGAGGCAGTGAGATTTACGCCAGTGGCTATGATGGGGGCCAGGCCATTGTCTATGTATAATGCGTTTAGTTCACTGACAAAGCGCTGGTTGTCTGGTCCTGCAAGCCTTTCCACAAGTTCAAGAAGACCAGGGATAATGCCTGCACGTGATGCAGGGGGCTGTGAAGGAGTCTGTGGGACCTTAGGTCCACAATGAGAAGGCTGTGTCGCCTGCTGAGAGGAGGCACCTGTTGGTAGGACCGGAAAGTCTTCTGGTCGACTAGTGAGAGCTAAGGTGGTGGGTTGAACGCTTGGGGCTCTGGTCGAGGAGGTAGACGAGTTGTTTCTTTTGGCTTCAACTTGGGCCTTGATGATTTCCTGTCTGCGGGGGCAGCGGTAGGAAATTGCGGGGTGATTGCCATCACAGAGCAAGCAGTGATGGACTGTTGCCTTGCATATGGAATAGTGATGGTCCAGTGCGCACAGGCTGCACCTCTGGACAGGGTGCTGACACTTGTTGGTCGGGTGGGAGAACTCGTAGCACTTAAAGCACTGCTGGATCTCATGGTATCGTTCCTTTTTTATTTGGTGGGGTTGTATTTTTAGGCCGAAGCAGTAGAATCCTTGTGTGGCAGCCTGGGTGGCCGCAGCTATGGTGGTGAACGTAATCTTCATTGATGTTTTGTTGGTGTTGCAGAACTCTAGGTTGAATACCGACAGGTTTGGATTTTCGTCCTCGATATTGTTTATGATATGATGTTGAGGTCGCTCAGCGATCCACCGGCTGGTCCTGCTGGTAAAAACAGTTCTTCTGGCCAGGAACTGACGTGGGAAGTGAGGATGTAGGTAGTGCTCTTTGCGAAGAATGGCATCGTTAGTGAGGAGTTTTTCTAGCTCCTCTTCACATGAATAGTAGAGCACGATATCTTCACCTTCCTGACCAATGTCAGCGGGTTTGAGGCCAGTTACGTCCTTCAGGACCTTTAAAGTATTGCTTCTTCCGATAGCATGACCGTCAAGTGGAGTAGCTCTGACCTTAAGACGTTTGGGTCGCATTGTGACCACACTGCGCCTTGTGATGTGTTGGCAGGAGATGTCTCTCCCGTCCTGTGTGTAGCAGTGTGTGTTGACTGCTGCTTATGTAGTAATGGAAGAGATCGGTGTACCCCGGGGATGACTTAGGGGAGAAACAGACGACAGTAAGGTGCCTGTTGGGAAGCGCTGCTAGCCGGACGTTAGAGGCTTCTGCCAGGGGGTTCGCTACCCCCTCTATCGATTGTTTAAGTGGCCCCGATCAGCGTGTGTTACGGACCCGAGTCCAGCATCCGAGCATGGAGCAGTGACGACAACGCCATCTGTGGGTCAGCTCCCGAAACCCGCTCCAAATGGACGACGCCATCTTGTAAGGACGGGATATACCGGCCACAGGGGCTGGATTCCCATCTTAATCAGCTCGTAACATAGCCGCTGCTGACCTCTGGTGAGGTGGCGCTTAGACAGCAACGCCATCTATGGAGTGGATAGGTGGACGTTTGTGTCTAAGCCTGTAAGTGAGGTGCCCTAGGGTGTCCCTAGTACTTATGACGTGTCTGATTACAGAGTCGACCTGGGACTGCTGGATTGGACGATGGGCAGTCTACCCAAGGCAGCCATAGTCTCTCCACGTGTTTGCTGCAGAAGCTGTGAGTTGCTCCCGGACGAACACTGCTGAGAGTGTTAGCCTGCCTGTGACGTGGCAGAGTTGAGGAATCGTCGTACCCGGGGGTTGACTGGTGGAAGAGACTAGCCACTGTGGTGCTATAGAGAGGAGAGTGATCAGCGGAATCACACGAGGCTCCTGCCTAGGGCTCGCAACCCTAGTATCGGTCGTGGAGTGGCCTACGCAGCGGAGCTGATTGGAACCTGCCAGCTACAGGCTGGATTTGTGGTTGAAGGCCTCCACGACGGTGCACCCAGTGGGACTGTGATTTGGCTGGCCCGTGGCCAGGGTAGATTCGCCTAGAGAATCAAAGGATTCATCGTAAGGCCACGAGAAGAGAACCAGGGCTACTCATCTTGAGCACCGTAGAGCATCCTGTGTCTTTGGAGGGAGACAAGTTATTGTATATAAGTGTAGTTATAGCATCAGCGAGTGACTGTGAGATATATATTTATGGTGGTGGTTAATATATATATTTAATTTAGTGTATTTGTATCCCTTCCCCTTTAATTTACTTGCGTTACAGAACACACCCCTTGAAAGCCACTACTAACTTGGGGCCGGATACCCAAACTCTAATAACATCAGAGAAGAACCCCAGTTGCAACCCAATAGGGCCGTAACAGCGTGTGGCTGAGGTTCTCTGCCCAACCCGTCCTCTTAAAAATAACATCACTTTTGGCTCGTATGCGCGATATGGCTAAATTTGGACGTAATTTGAAATGAAATCGACTCACAAAAGTGACGTTCTGTTCCGTTTTCTATTTGAATCGTCCGGCTTACGCGCAGACGTTATAAGAGGACACTTTAAATTAACGTTTTTCATAACGTTTTGAAACTTGATGAGAATTTCCTGCCCACCTAACCTATCAGAGGACCCTTAACTTACTGTCGTTGAAAACAAATCCCAAATTTATTTTCATTTTTTTTCATTTTCAAATTACGTCCAAATTCGGCCATACGGGCAAGCGGCCAAAAGCGACGTTCTTTTTAAGAGGACAGGTTTCTCTGCCAGCAAGTGGCTGGAGAGTGGCCGTTGGGTATAGGCACCTCGTGAGACAGCCAGTGGGCTGGCCCACGTACAAGGTGAAACTCGCCAGTGTTCCCCAGTACGGTTGGACAAAGTACTGGGTGAGAGCAACACTGGCGCTTGACCAACACTGCACGTGAGCGTTTGATGTCCTGTGTGGAAGGGCATCACTGTACATAAGTGTAGAAATGGTCTATTTATACTAATATATATATTTCTAACGGGGCAGGTAAATATATTTAAAAGGGGAATAGTGTTTTATCCCTCCCTTAGTAATTCATTGCATTATATAACCAATTCCTTGAAAGCCACTACCGACTCGGGGGTCGGATACTACAAACAAGGTTCATCATATCCATCAAGAACCCGGTTACTGGTTCATAGTGACCGTAACAGTGTGTGTGTGTGTGTGGACGTACTGTGTGTGTGTGTGTGGGCGTACTGTGTGTGTGTGTGTGTGTGGACGTACTGTGTGTGTGTGTGTGTGTGTGTGGACGTACTGTGTGTGTGGACGTACTGTGTGTGTGGACGTACTGTGTGTGTGTGTGGACGTACTGTGTTTGTGGACGTACTGTGTGTGTGTGTGGACGTACTGTGTGTATGTCTTAGTAGGAGCTAATTGATGATTGATAAAGATTAAGCCACACAAGAGGTGGCACGGGCATGAATAGCCCGTAACAGTAGGAGCTCTACCGCCGCACCACAAATACGACACCTACTGGGTACAAGACTTCCTTATGAAGGACACCTCACCAAACTCCAACGACAGCACTGCTCAGCCAAAGTCGCAGGCAAAGAGAAAACGGAAGACCTAGAGGTCTACACTAACCCGCTCCATAACTGGTACAGCCACGAAGACCCCCATCCATCCCCAGATCTCTTAGTATCAGTTACTGATACAGATAATGGCTTCAAAGAGCCTCCACTTACGGGCTCACCATACCCCGTGCTACTTGGAATTGTTCGTTCTAAATAGATGAATCTTAAACAGCAGCAACATGCCTGCGCCACCTCTTGGGTGGCTTAATCTTCATCAATCTCGTTAAGCCATCTTTTGGGTGGCTTAATCTTTATCAATCAATCAATCCTGTAACCCTTAAGGGCTATTCATGCCCGTGCAACCTCTTGGGTAGCTTAATCTTCATCAATCAATCCTTGTAACTATTCAAACTGTCTTTGATAATGTTAACAAGGGTTAATGAAACGAATGTCTTATCTTCGGGCCTAAATAAAATTGGAAAATGAACTTAGAGTTAAATTTTACACATTTTTCTCAAGTGAAGATGAACATAAGAAAAATAGAGAAGATTCGTGTTAGAATCACTGATCTCACCCTTTCTATTAGCTTTAGTTCATTTATTATGCACCCCATACCCATCCTGTAGGCGGTAGTGTTAAGGATTACAGGGGCACAAAATGGGCTGAGGGACTGAACCCCAAAATTCATTTAGTTACAAAAGTTAATGTACAGACGATGGGTCACAATAACGTGGCTGAGGATAAGACGACCGAACCACACATCAAAAAATGGAGAAACGACGACGACGTTCTTCTTCCCGCCATTGGTGCTCGTCCCGCTCTCTGGCTTCGCTATGTTCATTTTTGTTCCATGTCCTCATGACCATAGTTTTTTTCCAGCCTTTCCTCTCCTCTGCTAACAATCTACCTCCTTCTACCAATTTCAAAGTTGAATGGTAATCTAATTCCCTCCTTCCTTCTTTTCTTAACGTTCATGTTCACAGCTCTGTATCCGGGTTCTCTTTCTGGTTACCGCAAACCCATGCATAGAGGTACCGTATGTACATTCACTTCTTTTCCAACCGTCCTCTTTCTATTAAGAAGTTTTTCATCTTTCTCTTTTTCCGTGCTATAGCATCAGTAACTCTCAGATTCTTGATTCTGAAATTTATTTTATTTACAAATCTCTCTCGCCTTCGATACCCCCCCCCCCTTACATTTTATCAATTGTCTATTCTCAAGCTAAACGTAATTTCTATAATCCCAAACCCGATTCAAACACTAGTACCACTGTGCTCTGCCTTCCCTTCATATCTGAACTCTAAAATCTCACTAATACCATTTGTCTTCTTGACGTAAAGCTCGACAAACTAACACTCTTCGTAGTAATTTCTGGTTCTCACTGTTCCTCCTTCCAAATGCTGCTGTTGTTTATTCTATTTCCTGTTCGTCTTGTCCTCTCCAATACTTTGGGGAAACTGGCTGTACACTAAATGGCAGACTTATGGATACACAGAAGAAGTGTCAAGTCTGCAGACGCAAACAATGCTCTCTTCTGTCATGTGAGGGATTCTAATCATCCTATTGATTGATCATCTTCTAAAATAATCTTTCCTGCCTCTACTCTTCACAGGCACCATCTTGTTGAATCAGCTCAGATACATAATATACCCAACATGAACCTTAGTTCTGGCTTTATTGCTGTTAACTCTTCCCTTTCACAGTACATAATTTGTACTGTGAAGTGTACTAAAAATCCTCTACTTAAACGTGATTTGACTTATGTTTTACCTCCGTTACGGATTTTTCTCCTTTTCTTATTCTTATATTCATCCTGTTCTTACCTTATTCTTACATTCATTATATTTTTACCGTATTCTTGCATTCATCCTATTCTTACCGTATTTTTATAGTCATCCTATTCTTACTGTTCTTACATTCATTCTTTTCTTACCTTTCTCTACCATGCTCCTAACCTCTTCTTATTTTCTAAGTTTATATAATTTGCCTGTATCATCCTCTCTTCTACATGACTTGATAATGTCCAGGACAGGCCAAATGGTCGTCGTTTCTCCATTTTCTAATGTGTGGTTCGGTCATCTCAAAATTTAATGTATATTGTTATATCATCAATGGATTTGAGACTGATGTAGTGAGCTAATGTCATAAATAGTAGGCATACATCAGTCTGGATGAAAAGGTCATGAAGGAAGCCGGCCTCAGGTGAAATGGGGCTGTGACGATCTCTATCTGGAACTCATAGGTGTGGGACTTGGACATCTACCTCCTGGGGCTCGTGCAGCCCAAGCTCTGCTTCAGGAGGCTGAGATCTTTCTTGCCCTCATATCAACCATAATTGATGTGTTTATGCTGCACACTGCCCCTTAACCAGAAGGCAGCGGGGAAAAGATTACAATCACCTACACTTAGCAAACTTGGGATATTTGGCTAAAATTTATGGTAGTAGATAATTTTGAATGAGATTGTTTGAAATATTTACACATTTCTTGTACATCTGTTATAGAGTTGTCTCTGAAATCACAGATATTTTTGCACTCCATCATATATTCACGGAGGGTTTGCAATTAATTTTGTTGACAGTTTATATTTGGTCACGTCTACTTCAGCATGTAATGAAAATTCACAGAGATATTTATAATAGTCTAAGCTGAGCAGTAGTAACATCTAGGAGTCTGCTGATTTTACTGGATGATCTAAAGATGTGCGGCTCTTCTTGCATGATAGTGTGGTGATAGATGGAATTACTAGTGTAGATTTCACTTTGCCTCAGCTCTACAAGGTCTTATTTATTTATTTACAAACTACAAGGTATATTGGGGTTGTGATATAACATAACATTGGTTGTGTTGAAGTTCTTGGTGAATTATTGTTCTCAAGACAGTAAGCAATCCAAGGTTATAATCAACTACTACTTTAAAGGCAAATAATCCTTTGGCTAACTCATGAGCTCTATCGTGCATTCAAACCCCAACATGAGATGGACTCTGTTACCATCATTAATAATTTTGTTGTATTTATGTCTGGTTTTAGACAAGCACATTATAATTGTTTTTTAATGAGGTACATACTGAACATCTTAATGAGTTTCTTCCAGAAAAAACTCTTCACGGTGCTCTTCAGTGTTACACTATAATCAGTCACAACAACTGCAATAATCCAGTATTGGACCACATGCATTGACAGCAACGTATAAATTCACCGCTTTACATGCTCCGAAATTCATCCATTCAGGCCTTATTTAAAAAAAAATTATCATACAAATGTAGTGTCAAAGGCCTCACAAAAAAATAAAATTGGCATTTTAAATTAAAAACTTTCATTTCCTTACTTTATAATATATCACATATAACACCTTGATGTATGTAAAAGGTAAGTGTTGCCAGTGCTCTTCAATAAAACTCCAACATTTCTTGGCAAGTATACAAAAGTCTACAAAATTTATGTAACATTTTAGATAAGGTCACTGGAAGATAGTTTAATGAAAGAAATTATATTGCAAAGCTCCAAGCTAGACAATCAATCATTCAATAATTCTTTTGATTGATCAACTTATCATTGGTTAAAGAGTAATGCACTTAGTTTTGGAAATAGAAATGATCTCAAACTCAATAAAAATTTATTATATCTTAACATATCGATTTGAGTGAATTAACCTTTCAAAAATATTTTGCATAAGTAGGATATGCACAACCTTGTGTAAATACAAGAGCTATCCTTAGTAACCAAAATAAGCACTAGCCTACATAACAAATCAATTTACAAAATACATCTAGTATACATCAGGTATTCCACAATTCCCCCTACAGTACATACACTTTTCGACTCAATTTGCAATAAAGTACATACAGTAATTACCATTCAGCTTAAATTCTCCAGTGTATTTTTCATCAAGTAACATTCAAAACCCTTGAAAACCAAATTAATACATTATATATAATTTAGAATCTAGAAAAATTTAAACTTAACATTATTTCAAAAAATCTATTCTCTGTGTATTAGTGGTCAGTCAGTGAGGGTATCATTTAAACATACATTTACAATCATCGTTAGAAAGATTCTCAATATCATTCATTATTGCCAAATAAGACTGATTGCTCTCTAAGCTTACATAATCAAGACTCATGTAATCAGATCAATTATAGCATTCCTACTGAGAGCAATCCTAGTAGAGCAGTCACTTTTACACATAACCGTATTGGACTATCAAATACATATCAATCTCCAAGATCTTAATTATTGCAAACTCTCAATGCATAAAGAAATTGTACAACATTAGAAGTAATTATCATCAAAACAAGGCGCCAAGCCTGGAAGACTATGTAGCACCGTCTGTGTGGCGGGATATTCAAAAGGTCCTAACTATCACTCGGGATGCCAATGAGAGAACAAAAGGACACAAGGTGACATGTCTGGATTTCTTAAATATTTGGAAACTGCAGCATGCATTGTGGTGCTATTACTCAGTCAGGAGACAGCATCCTATATGAGATTTAACTTTGTCTTGCAGGGGGTTGTAACAAATTCCTAGCTGAAAGAATTGCAGAAGTTTGGGCCCTTGGAGCAATACGATGACCCCCCCCTCCCCCGCTCTACGGTCCTGCCTGGCCATTGGGATGAATGAGTCTGAAAGGTGGGAGGTTATAGTGTTACCAAGTTGAGAGGCCATAGCTTTACTCAATAAACACTGTAAGAAGGTATAAATAAGCCTAGCAGTTCCCACAGACATACTGCACTCTAACTATAATATCACCAAGTGTCTGTTCATGGTATGACTGAGCTTACACTTCCCTTATGACCATTCAATGACCTTCGATCACACTCTGGGGATCGGTACCTTTACTTACATTTACTTTCACAATATTTTCTTGCAAACTGCGATATGATATTATAACTTAAAATAAAAGCAACAAAATGTTATGTCAGCCACTGACACTCCAAGTAGGGTCGAGATTCTAGGCTCAAGAGAACCTCAAGTTATTTTTATCAAATCACAAACCTCCCTATTCACAAATATAAAATGAAAAAAGTATGAACAGCTGAAGAGGGAATGCACATGAACAATATCTCAAGACAAATGGATAAAAAGCTTAGGAAGTGGTGAGAAGAATGACAACAAAATATACATCAAGGACAGAGGACTAAAATGCCCCCAGCATGATGACATTCAGTATTTTTGTAGACCAACTGTGAACACAAAAGGGGCATGGCTACATTCACCGAACATATTTCCTTCATACACCCATCTAATTGTATGTTAATTAGAAATTACCAAGGAAAACAGCTGTATTTCAACACCATGAAACAAATTCATTTGAAAGCTTCATGAAAAACAACGGTTACTCTGCAAGTGATCGTGACTTCTAGACTGTGCAGCGGTACAGATATTGTAACATACAGTGTACTGTCCAGTACAGCATACTTAAAGAACAGCATATTGTAAGATACAGTATATTGCAACTGGATTAATTTGAAGAATATCACCAACCAACACCCTACTTAAATGTGGCTTTCACACCTATTAAGTGAAATATGAAGAATTTAATCATAAAATAACATAAAATATATATTTTGGGCATACTGTACTACTCTACTCATCTCTACTGATCCTGTCACAGTCCAAACATCACGACTAGCAATGGCTTGGTGCACACTGTCACCGTCAGCCCCCACCATGTGTGGAAATTCCGAAATGCACACTTTTCTATAACAGACACAAAATATCTACAATAATACCATGCTATAACATCAACCAACTGGATGACAATAGCAACTGGAGTGAAGGGTTGTGAAGAGTGTAAAGTGACTTCACAGTGATTAGATCAATTCAACAAGTTATTCTGAGCATATCAATGCAATCATTAATAGCTAACTATCTCAAGCCTTTTCTCTTTGAGCAATCAAGTCAAATGGAACAGTCATGAATGAATATTAAACACTGATGTAATCACACTTAGCTTGCAAAATACTCCAAGCGGCCAAACACTCTACTGGTGCAATGCATTTCCCAAATGTGCCTCTCATCACATGGACTGAATATGTTTGGCAATAAAACGACTTCATAATGTGTACACAACGCAACAGTTGCTAGTATTACTTCATGAATGTATCCATTGACTTAAATGAACCTCATTAGTATGGATCTTCAGACTGCATTGGAAGTACTGAGAAGTTCTCATTCAAAGTTAGAACAAATGCAGTTTTTTCAAGAAGTTTGCATCCAAAGTTTGACCAAATGCAGGTTTTTTTTAGGAAGTTTACATCCAAAGTCAGACCAAATGCAATTTTTCACAAGTTTGCATCCAAAGTTAGACTAAATGCAGTTTTTTTTACGGATTGCAGTTGCACTGAGAGTATAATTTGTGAGACTGGCACGAACACTTCTCTTTATGCATCATTCACGACATGGACATAAACTGATTTAACGTGTCAATAACCCGTAAAGGCTCCGTGAGTTCATTAAAGGGCGATGTTTGTGTTTCCTGAGCTTCATCTCGCAGCAGCTTCCAATATGCCAAGACATTCTGATATTTGAAGCACTTCTCCATATTAGCTTGAATGCTGTAAACACGTAGCAAACCCCGATAGTCATACTCCAGACCCGAGTAGCCATCTCCAAATAGCTTCTTACCTGTTGATATTTGTTAAACCTTAGTATAAGAATCTGCAATTATGATCACATGAATAAGCCCTGGCAGATACATAACACAACTAAGGACACTGCAGAATGCTTATTGACCCATACAAGGTAACTCCTTTTCTTTTCAATACATACTCTACAAATGGATGATGATGACCACCCATGTTTAACAGTGAATCATGCCTCAAGCAGGAATGCCCAAAAACCCCTTTGAGAATAGGAGATACACACTAAAAATCAAAAGAAATGCTGGTTCTCATTCAGGCAGTTAACACAATTGCATTCCAGAGGCAGATCTTGTTTCTTCCCCAAAATGCATATTCAATAATGTATAAAATGCTTATAAAGTACTCGTTTTCCAGTTGAAAAACTATTTATAGTGTCAGAACTCTCATTTTGGTACCAAACTATTTGGAATTAAATAAATCTTTTCTTTTGGGTAACTTATTGTAAATGATTAATCTACATGTGTAAAAAAAAAAAAAAGCATTGAATATAATGAAATGCCATTTTCTGGGTGCCGGAGGAGCACCCATAGAGCCGGAGGGGCTCCCCACAGAAACACCCCCCAGAGAAGGGGGAGGCCTGCATCAACTGTCTCAGGTGTCAAAGTGAATAGTGACCCCAGAAAGGCTAAGATACACCCACAAAAAAAATTCAGCCAGGACTCTTAAAACTCTCAGGTGCCCTGGAATCTGGAGAGAAAGAGAGAGAGAGAGAGAGGGTTATCTTGAGATGATTTCGGGGCTTTAGTGTCCCCGCGGCCCGGTCCTCGACCAGGCCTCCACCCCCAGGAAGCAGCCCGTGACAGCTGACTAACACCCAGGTACCTATTTACTGCTAGGTAACAGGGACATTCAGGGTGAAAGAAACTTTACCCATTTGTTTCTGCCTCGTGCGGGAATCGAACCCGCGCCACAGAATCACGAGTCCTGCGCGCTATCCACCAGGCTACGAGGCCCCTGTACAAAGGACAGGGGGCCTTTGTACACCCTGTGGGTGTACAAAGGACCCCCACAACAAAGCCAAATGTATCAAGGAGCAGCACCGAAGGTAGAACCAACGTTTCTTCAGTGCTTCAACGTTGGATTATGAACCAGAGTGCATGGAGGGAGCTTTTGGGAGGCACTGCATGAAACCCTGGTTAGGATTCAGCAGAAGCCTCAAGAACCCTAGAGGATGCAAATGAATCCCAGGTTGCAATGCTTTTGGCCATGTCGTGGTGTAGTGGTCCAGAGCGTGCCTGGGAGTACCCAGTGCAAAGGCTTGAATCCTCCTCATGACTCCTACTGATTTTCTCATCATCTTGTTAACCTGCTCGAATTTTGTTCCTCCATACATGCAAATGACCATTTGAGAGTTTTCCCATTTGTTTGCTATATTTTGTCAGGCACACTACACCACAATGTAGTACTGTACAGTATATTTGAATACTTGAACAGCCCAAGGGTTATAGAAACAAAAATAATTTATCCGCAACAAAGAGACCGTAATACACAATGTACAACTCACCAATTGAAATTGATCTGAGATATAGCTGCTCTGCTTTATCAAACTTCATCATGTCGTAGTTGTAGAGGGAGGCGAGGTGACCCACAGACAATGCCACCTCATAGTCCTCAGGCCCGAGAAGCTGCTCCTTGATGGTAATCGCTTTTAGGTGCATTTCCTCCGCTAACTGGAAGAAGACAACAACCCATGCTTGGTTTAACGCTACTTATTAAAAGTTAATTCTCATACTTAAGTAAAAAAAAAAATAATTTTTTCCTAGAACTCCATATTCACTAAATAATGTGTTCTTAACAGTTTAGCAAATACAGTACCTGTACTGTATTTTATGGCAAATAAGAATACATGGGTTTTGTTTGCCACCAACCACGTGCATATTGCATTTGCAGGAACAAAATCATCTGTTTTCCCCCCACTTTCAATAAATATTTAATATCAAACATTAAAATAGCTTTTGCTATAAAATATTCTTGTTAAAAAGGTGCACTTTATACACCAGAAATACAGTTTTTGCTTTGTAAATTATAGCCAAGTTTATTTAGACACTACAACCACAAGAGCAAATCTAGTTCTCACATATTTACCAATTCATTGAACTGTTCAAAACAAATAAACAATCTGTATGATTTCAAAGGCTGTAAATCATTAACCTGACTTAATATTGGAATATGCAAGGGTCTGAAATATGTCTTGAGAACTCAACAGCCTTTGACACAATATCTTATGCACTACTTCATATCTTTAGCCACTCAATCTCCTCTATGAATTGCATATATGCATATATATATATATGTAAGTTATATACAGAATAAAAATACATAACATACAATATTATCAGTAATATAAGACATGAAAATTGATCTGACACCATTTCATTAATCACACCAAACTGCAAATTCAAATCATTCCAATCAGGTGATTATATCACCCCAAATGAGCCCCTTTTAATAACTCTAAAAATCAATCCCTTTATGTCATTCCAAACAAGCCATTAAGCATATTTATCTACTCTAAATTGAATATTATGCCTATTATCCCACTAGCAGGCAAACCTGCCTATTTATCACTCTAAACAGACTGTTTTGTCCTTCACCATTAAGATATCGAGATTGTCATCCCCCCAACACATCCTTGTGAAGCTTTACACACTCCTCGGCTTGGACAGCTAATCAACTCTTCCTCATTCAATCTTTACTCCTTGTTCACAGTCTCCCGTTTCCTATTCTTTATACCTCTACATCTTAGATTACAATTGCAGAGGAAAATTCATATACCTTGGTGTGCTTGATGATGATGCTCCATATGATAAAGCTAGTTTAGGCAGAAAATATTTCATATGACAGAAATCCGTAGATATTACTATTGGAAAAAATTGATTGTCAAGGGAACACAATACAGATAATTTAGGCAGTGACGGTTTGTGAAATGCGCAATTCTGTGCCGACTCATTTAGTTGTTTCCTAAGGCAAGATCATGCTGTCTGTAGGGAAGCAAATCATGCCATATGGCAGATGGCATTAGAGTTACCAGAGCAACGGTGAACGTTTCAAACATCCCAGCAGGATGTTTTGTTCATCCCAGCATGGTCCTACTGGCACTAGGAGCTGTAGAAAGCTCAAATCATGAACTTAAAAGCATTTACAAACTCTCCTTTGCAACCCTCATATTTCCAAGGAACAGCCTAAAAAACATACTAATTTGCTAGGGGACAGGGAGGAACACTCTTCAAGAATGACACAAAAGTGTGTGAAAATCTTATCAAGAGCATCCCGGAGGTCAACAAACCACAACCAGATTGGTTTCAAGTAGAAGTGACAACAGACTGGCAGAAACAACACCAGACAAAATTGAAGTTAATGAAGAAAACATAGAAAAAGAAAAAAAATGGAGGAACTGAATGTAACACCAAAAGCAGCAGGAACAGGCTGGGTATCACTATGGTTACTGAAGAAAACTGCAGGGATCTTGCATTACCCATTAACAATAGTACTCAACATCACACTAGAGAGAGGAGAGCTACCAGAAATGTGGGAAAAAAAAGCAAATGCCATTCCAATATTCAAGAAAGGGGGGGGGAGAGACATGAAGCCCTAAACAATAGATCAGAGTTATTAACATGCATTTCATTTCAAAATAAGATAAGAGAAGGAAGGATGGGTAGATTGCATTTTTCTACACTGCAAAAAGCTTTATGATACAGTTCTTCACCAGATGGAGAGACAAGCGGGGGCAACAGGGAAGGCACTGGACTGGGTATGAGAGTACTGTACTTGACAACAGGAAATAAAAGGTCATAGGAAGGAAGGAAATGTCAGGCCGGAGAGGAGCGGAAAGTGGTGTTCCACAGGGCTCTGTCCTAGGACCACTGCTCTTTAAAACTGATGTCAGTGACCTCAAAGAGGGAATGAACTTGTACATGTCACTGTTTATAAATGATGCAAAGTTAATATGGAGAATAAGAACTGAAGAGGACTGTAGGGGTGCTGCAAGAAGGACATACAGTACAATTGAGTTGAAAAGATGAAAGAATGTTCTCTTTTTCCCTGTGTGGGTGGTAGGACAGTAGAATGCAATAAAGGAAGAGGTTGCTGAAGCCAATTCCAACCACAACTTTAAGAAAAAATATGATGAAAGTGTTAATGTTGAGAGAGGCAAATAGCATGTCAGGTATAAATGGCTAGGCGAGGTGTGGCATGAAGAACTAGATCTCACTCCTTTGTAGTCACTGATAGGTAAGTACCTCAAATGTCATCCTGCCTGACACAAATCTTACCTTGGAGGGTAGCCAAATGAGACAGCTCAGAAAAACATGAAGTGTACAGAAAATATGATATCCTTACCCCACATCAGAAAATGAAGAAACTAGCCATACACTGCATGATAAGACTTAAGGACCATGAAACAAGTATCAAGTCTGCACACAAACAATGCTCTCTTCTGTTATGTTAGGGACTTGAATCCCCCTATAGATTGGTAGATATAAAATAATCTTTCCTGTCTCTGCTCTTCACTGACACCATCTTGTTGAATCGGCTCCAATACACAACACACCCAACATGAACCTTAGTCCTGGTTTTGTTGCTGTTGACTCTTCCCTTTCACAGTACATACTTAAATGTTCTAACCTTCTTAACAAACCTGATCTAACTTAGCTTTGCCTTTTCTAGGCTTTCTTTCCTGTCGCTTTTAATACTAGATTTTTCTCTTTGCCCTTAGCATTCTTGCAGTTTCTTTTATTTTTACCTTCCTATTTTCCTACCTTTTTCTAATTTATATTCTTTTTCATATTCTTCTTCCTTTTCCCTTACTTCTAACCTTTCCTTTACTTTATCTGATTCTCCCCATTCCTACCTTTTCTCTTTTCTATCCATTTTCTCTTTTTCTTTCTTCTTACCTTATTCCTACCTTTCACCTTATTCTCACCTTTCATCTTAATCTCACTTTTTCATCTTATTCTTTCTCTTTCTTTCATCCCACCTTTGATCTCACTCTCTTCATTCATACTGTTTACATCTTCCACTCTCTTCCATTACACAACTTGATAACGGTCCAGGACGGACCAAAATGTCGTTTCTTCATTTTCTGATGTGTGGTTTGGATATCATATCTTCAGCCACATTATTACTACTCATCGTCTGCACAGAAAATACTTTCAGTAGTTTAATCTTTGATATTTACATGCCATATTGACCTTATATTCTGTGACATATCTCCCAGCCTCCCCACATCTTTTAACCCCTGCACTGTTATCTTGAGGTTATCTTGAGATGATTTCGGGGCTTTTTAGTGTCCCCGCGGCCCGGTCCTGGACCAGGCCTCCACCCCCAGGAAGCAGCCCGTGACAGCTGACTAACACCCAGGTACCTATTTTACTACTAGGTAACAGGGGCATAGGGTGAAAGAAACTCTGCCCATTGTTTCTCGCTGGCGCCTGGGATCGAACCCAGGACCACAGGATCACAAGTCCAGTGTGCTGTCCGCTCGGCCGACCAGCTCCCTCTGTTCCTCCCTCTGTGCCACTGTTCACAGCTGACAATTCCCCAGTGCTCAAAAAACTAAATTAAACAAATAATTTTTCTTTCAAATATTGTTAAAATGCATTCCCTAATCACAGGAAAATGAAAAAAACAACATACAACTTACGTTGGCCATGGTGAAGCACGAAAATGCAGTATTGCGGTGGCACAACGATACACAAGCATTCATACAAGCACGATACACTAGCCCAGTGCATTTGCCCTAGGCTAGGCGTGGGGTGGGAGTTGCCGTGAAAATATGTTTATATATTTCAACGTCTTTGTTTTTCATTTTGTTTTTGCTGATTTTTGCAGTAGTAGTATTCAATAGTGCAAATGATGAGTCACAATAACGTGGCTGAAAAATATTGACCAAATCCCACACTAGAAACTGAGGAGATGACGACGTTTCGGTCCGTCCTGGACCACTATCAAGTCGATTGTGATAATGGTCCAGGATGAACCGAAACGTCGTCGTCTCTTCAACTTCTAGTGTGTGGTTGGTCAACATATTCAATAGTGTGTCATTTGAGAAATTTATATTATAAAATATGTGTAACATTGTAATGCTCAAATATATTTGTGTCAATAATATTAATATGTACACATTTATATTCTAAGAACAATAAAACATTCTGGTTTTGCTGTTATTATACTGTACATACATGTTATACATAACTATCTGCATTTTCATGCACCATTACAAACAACTGAGCAGTTCTGGTGTAATAATCTCATAACCAGTTATCAAGAGTTCAGAATAGATCTGCATTTTTGCAAGAAATTGTAACATCATGCAGTGAATATACACTGTAATACATTTTCTTCGTATTTTCTAATGTTTTTGCCTTTTGTTTTCAAATGCAGTAATGCACTGGATTGTCAATATTATTATTTGTATCACAGAACATGTGGAACACAGGTGCACACAGTTTCATTCATGTCACTAATATGTGCACAATATTATATTCATTGAACAATAAAACATACTGTTTGGCTGTTATTACACTATATACTCATATTATACATAACTATCTTTTATTTTTACGGATCTTGTAACTCAACACAGCACAGCATCACACGCATGTCAGCTGATGACGCATCCTGACTTTTCAAATTGCCTCCTAATACACTACCTGCTTGATACCTGCTTGATGGGGGTTCTGGGAGTTCTACTCCCCAAGCCCACTACGCACTAACTCTAGCCACAACACTGCTATCATCATCATAATCCTAGTCGCTAAATTATGAATATGAATAATTTTCCACAAGTTTATTTTTAAGAGAACATGAGGTCCTGTTTCGTGAATCATACACACACTAAACCACACTGTGGTTGTCTGCTTGCGCTGTTAACATCATAAGCAGCATTGTATTTAATGATATCTGAATTTTGTACATAGTCTTTATCACAGCCAAGATCTTCTAAGACACTATTATCACAATATAACTGCAGTTATGTATTTATTTTGTCATTGTTAGGTGATTCCGAGGGCATAAGCTGCACAGTAGTGTGTGAGCTGTAGGCACTGCTCTTGATCTATTTTGGGGGGTTTTAAGATGGCATCTGCTTACTGGAGGCCTGAGGAAGCAGATGCAAGCCCTGTGTATGAGGGGGGGATTTGTAAATCTTATGTGGTACTTTGGTACTTTAAATCCTCCCTTACTGACTCACGCAGTGGGGTCAGAAATGACACAATTGTCCCCGAATGACTCGTGCATTTGAAGGGTTAATCATCAGTAATGCCCAACAAGTTGGCACTGAAAAGTTAGAGCTGAAGCACAACCCTTGGAAATGTGATTATACAATTATGCACAAAAAATGGCACAATTGTGCAACAATACCTCTTGTCGAAAACTGGTAGAGAACTTGAACTTGACAAACACATAATTACTTTACCTGAAAGAGCCTCATCGACTGGTATAGTCGCCCCAAGTTACCATAGTGCTTAGCCGTTTGAACGTTCATCTCGCCAAAGGCACGCATAGCCATTCCTAACGCCTCTCTGTGTAGTGAGTGCGCCTCTGATAGGTATTTCTTTTCTGTGGAAGATTTTGCATAGTAGTGAGTAAATGTACCAAACATGATTAATGCAAATTCCCTTTAAATATCAGTGACCATCCTAATGATATTTGCAATACTGAATAAGGATTGATCATTTATTTCACAAAGATGTATGTACAATTTACCAAGTAAATGCAAGTTCAAGTGTGGGAACACTAAGCATGGTATTTTAGGCAACATTAAGGCAGACTCCTACAGGAGACATGAATAGCCTTATGAATGATATAATAAACAAGTATCAAAAGTAAGACATCACTATACTGAAAAGTTTAATAACAAAATTTAGTAAGTTACATTAAGAGTTGAATTTACATGATTACTGATAGGCGTGAAAAAAACGAGACTCTGGGAGGAGGTCTGGAATGCATTCCTGTTTGCCACACACATCCTAAATTAAAATTTGATAAGAATGGTTTCTATTTATGTTTATGGTTCTTTTATTTATTTCTATTTATCTATGGCTCCTATTATGTTTTTTTCCGAACACATTTCCCATGCAAATTAATGGCATTATTATATTGGAAGAATTACCTGTGAAGAAAAGCAGTACAACAATTTGAAGGCTAATACAGGAAAAAATTACCAATGGAAGAATTCAATAATATTGACCATCACAGCTGTATGGTGCATACATCATCTGATCTAAAGGGAATCGTTACAACTAATATCAAATTAATACAGACACCACACATGATTCTTGGGAGAAGGTAGCAGCTAGTGCAAAATAAATATCCTCAAGTCATTTCTCACAATACATCAAACAATTGCTCTCACCAACATCCTTGTTAGGGTTATCAATAGCCATTTCCTCTAATATCAACGCTTTTACTCTCTTGCTTGACGACAGAAGGAGATGGTCATCTGGCAGGAGACGGAGCATCAATTCGATTGCTCTTTCAGCGTGTGTTCTGAAAAACAAGTCCTTAAATTAAACAAAAAATTCTTTAAGCATCGCCTCAAATAACACTGCCGTTTGTACTGAAAATGCAACTTATTCATTTAGTACTGTTTCAATAATAATGACTAAGCTCACTTATCCAGACAACATGGAAAGGACCCCCTCACCAGATAAGCCAGACAGCCAGATAAGCAAAATTCTTACCGGGTAAGTTCAAAAATGACCATATTCAAAATTTTTTGAATCACAACCAACATAATTCAAATTTTCACACACAAACACACACCAGTTGATTGAGAGTTGAGAGGCGGGACCAGAGAGCCAAAGCTCAACCCCTGCAAGCACAACTATGCGAGTACAATGAAACCTCGGTTTTGTATGCCAATGTTCTCGTATTTTTCGGTACTCGTACTCAATTTCTCTGAAAAATTTGAATTCGTACTCATTGTTTGCCCCGGTTTTCGGAGTTTGTTTATACTGTACATGTATGGGTCCACCGCAAGCGTGGCGCTTCAGTTTACCAGTGTCTCCCGCCTAGTGATGATCGTGCTTGAATTCTTTGTAAAGAATTTCATTGTTTTTGTGCTTTTTTTTATTTCTGAACATGAAAGTTCTTATATATCATGCCATGGGTTCCAAGAAAATCAGTGGTAATGTTCAACCTAATAAAATAGTTGTGAGGATGATGATAGAGGAAAAACAAGAGATCATTCATAGTAAGACAATGTGATGTCTCTACAAATGTAGGGAAAACAAGTGTCTATAGGCAGATTCTTAGTAAGACAAGCAAGAAGTGAACCACAACCAGGTCTTAGTGGTATGCCTGCAAAATGTAAAAAGAGAGTACCCTACAAATGTTCTCACTGTTGTTATAATGGAAGGGGACTTCCCTTCCAAGCACTAATACTGATCCTCCTTACCCTTTCCTCACTGTCTTCCAAAAGCCAACAAGCGTCCTCTATAAAGGTAAGGTACTTAAGAGTATTATTCTGTATTAAATGTAATTTTTAGTTAATATATTTGAGGGTATGGAACAGATTAATTCAATTTACATTTTTTTTTTGGGGGGGTGGGGGGGGGAATTTGTTCCGGTTTTGGCATTTTTCAGTTTTCGTACCATCTCTGGGAACGGATTAACTACGAAAACTGAGGTACCACTATAAATCAAAAATATAATTTAAAACAGAAACTTCAACTTAACTTCTTGTACTGTAATTTGTCTTCTTGTTTGATACTATAGATCTTGAAATGTGCACTTCTTGAAAGTTTATGTACTGTAGTCTCTGGTTATCTGGCTTTCTGTCTGGATATGGCAAAGTCTTGCCAGAAAATTAACAGGTTGCGATTTTGGCAAGATAACCCAAATATTCGGTTCAGGATTCGGATAACCAAGCTCATACATTATTTAAAATTATAGGGAAGTGTAAGGCATGTGAACCAATACCTTCTTTACATAAAGTGATTTGATTTCAGGAAGCTTAAAGTCTAGGGCAAGGATGTACAAATTCATTAGGTATGTAGGGTAGGTTAAGAATGTATTTCTTGAAGGGAGGTGTCCCTCAGTGGCTCCCTGAAGCTAACTCGCTGATATTGCTCCATGCAATTGGGTCATATCAGATGTGGAAGTTCTTGTCTGGCCTACCAGGGACCACAGCCAAAACCTAACCCCCACACAAAGGCAGAGTGAACAAGTTCCACAACACCGGAAAAACATTGAGAAAGCCACCAATTTACAGGTAACTGGAAGGTAAACAAAGACCAAAGCCTCAAAACTGCCAAACAACTCTGCAAATAATTCACACAGAACAAGAAAACATTCAAAATTACCGTGAGACCAATAGTACTGAATGCCACCACCAGATGGCCTGGCTCATGCATGCAGCCATCTTCTCACTCTCTTCTTTTGCTGATGCTCCAGAGGACACTACTGTTCCCTGAGTCAGTCAGATGTACAAGCCCTGCTGCTTCAAGCTAAGTGTTTGCCATCCTTGAACTAGTTCCTGTGGGGGGGCCATTTGCTTGGTACTCTGTTCTATTATTTTAGTATTTGCTTCATGTGCTAGTTTTCTATCGAGCTTATTGTGTGTGGACTTGGCTTTGTGGTGCATGCACTTGGGATTCCTTCGCAGGGTACCTGCTAGCACAACCCCTGCACTGACTGAGCTATCTTCTCTGGTGTGTTTCAGAGTTTGCCAGAGGCACCAGGCCACTGGGGTGGAGAGCCTCACCTAGGGATATTAAAGTGTCTTTGACTGCTGTTTGGGTCCACTGGCTGGGGAAGTTCTATTGGTGTTGCTGGGGCCTGCTAAGACTCGTGTGAGTGTTATACAGCATGCTGCCGCTAGTTGTAGTTGGGTTGTTGTGGCTGCATGAGGCATTTCTCTCTGTTGAATGGCCTCAGTGCCTAGGTGCTTGGCTTAACTAACTGCCTTCTAGCCCTAGTAATCCCCCCGCAGGTTATTGGCAGTTTTTTTTCGGTGTGTCAAGCCCATGCTTACTGTGTGTGATTTTGAAGGGTTCCCATCATCTTTGCTACCAGACAATGGTCACTGTCTCTATCATGCTGCCTGCTAGGTCTGTGACACCTACAACCACGAGTCCTATGAGGTTTGTTCTCTCTGGGTCTCGGTTTTAACTGATTCAGCTTTCAATGCAGAGGCTTTTCAGGCAGCTGCCATTTTGAAAGATAGGTTTGCTAGGGTTAGGCATTCACAGCATACTGATCAGTTGGACACCCTGATGTTGGCTCCTATGGTGTTTATGGACCCAGAATTGGAGGTGTTGGTAATCTCCAACAGGATTAAGTCTGCACCTCCTCTTCCTTTCCCCGCAGGTGTGGCTCACACACTGCTTCTGGTCTTCCCTTCCTGGTCCGGGCTCCAAAGCATCGCATCTAAGGGTTTCAAAGTCGGGGCAGGATTTAGCTCTGGATGTAGCTCGACCTTCTCTGGGGGTAGAGCCATCTACATCAAAAGTGGAGGCAGTTGAGCCTTCTCCTTTGGAGAATACCTTTCTGTCACAAATGTTGGACAAGGATTATGGCTCTATCCTGAGCATTCATTTCAGGCTTTTGGGGCTGAGGGGGAAGACCGAGGAGAGTCCATGGGTGCTGTTCAATCCTTCTTGGACCTTGGTTCTCTCTTTTGCTTCAGGAGGGATACATTTTCATATTCACTTTCTATGTATGTGTATGCTGCCCCTTCAGTTTGGTTCCATTCGGTAACTATGAATCATTGTATTTCGGGAGGTTTCCAACTTCCGGCATTTTCCTTTGGTCTCTCACGCAGATTTGCTGTGCTTCCTATTGCAAATCCCTTTAACATTAGACATCGCAATTAAGGGGTTGGGTGCACAAAAATATTCGTCAAAATATGAAATATAGTATAAAAAGTTAAACAAATCTAGCATTATTTGGCGTGAAAATTTCATCCCAATACAGTATGTTAAGAAATGAATTTTATATGAATTAAAAAAAAAAGTTTGCAATTGGTACTGATGATAAGAATAACACTTCTTAGTTAGTGGAACTCATGAATAATGCAGTGATAAAGAGATGCAAGCACCTGTCCGACACACACAAAGAAGAAGAGCAGTAGTAAGGAGGGTCCACAAAGTGGATATGCAGTTGGTGACTTCCAGGGTTGCCGAATGCCACCTGGAGGGCAAAATTTCACACAAATAATAATGAGTAAGCATGTTATTTTGCTGTATTTTATTATATATTATATAAATACATTGCCCAATGGCAATATTTCTTATGTCCACCAAATTCTTTGGGGAGGGGGATATTTTTTTTTCTCTCTCTCTCTTTCTCATCTGATTTTGTTGTGGCTTCTACATCTTGGAGAATACATACCCTTCACTAAGAATGTGAAGTTGGAACAAAATTGGTTGACATGTAAATCAGCCACAGGTGCCAAAACTTGTGACTTTTTTTGACCGAGTTATTCACAAATTTCAAACTATTTTCTTTGTCTCTTTAGGTTGTTTTTACTGAATGGGGACCAGATGAGGGCTTTATCACTTAAAGTATACTTATATATGAACAAATTCACAAGGGCTGTAATGAGGATTCGAACCTACGCACAGGATGTTCCCAGATGCGCCTTAGTCAACTGTACCACGACATGGTCAAAAGAATTGCCACCTAGAATGCTACTGTCCTCTTAGCAGCAAGCTATTGGTGTTGAAAACAATGAATCCTGGGTGGCCCTGTTGTGTTCGTAGGAGGAGTTGACATCTATCTGTCCTCTAAATTAAGTCTTGGTAGCAGTTTAGCCTTGGGAGGAAGTCAGCCAGCGTGTTGTTGGAGTTAGTGTTGAGACACTATGATGATACTTTGGAGGCCTGGCCAGTGAATTGTTGGAAAAGTAGACTCGCCAGTGTGAGTACCTCAGAAGAAAGGCACACAGAGAGAGTGGAGTCGGTCGGCCGAGCGGACAGCACGCTGGACTTGTGATCCTGTGGTCCTGGGTTCGATCCCAGGCGCCGGCGAGAAACAATGGGCAGAGTTTCTTTCACCCTATGCCCCTGTTACCTAGCAGTAAAATAGGTACCTGGGTGTTAGTCAGCTGTCACGGGCTGCTTCCTGGGGGTGGAGGCCTGGTCGAGGACCGGGCCGCGGGGACACTAAAAGCCCCGAAATCATCTCAAGATAACCTCAAGATAAACCTCAAGAGAAGGAGCCCTTAGTGTTGTGCTAGGAGGACGACTAACCATGGCAGAAGATCACATAGGTTTTTAGTGGTGTCCTGTGTGAAAGTGACACATATGGTGTTATCTGTAATGTATGGATATTGGTTTATATTTCCTGTAAATGGTTACTTGAATATAATATTGAAGTATATTTTAGTGATGGCTTTGTCTAGTGTTGGTTAACCCCCCCCCCCTTACCCCCTTTTACCATTGTGGTTGAATATTACTGCTCAGTTTCCTGATAACTTTACCCTGACTTGGGGTTGGATGTGTGACTGTGGCATTAAGGCTCTATAGAAAGAGAGACAAAAAGAACCCGAGTTACGGGCCAAGTAAGGCCGTGACACTGGTTCAGCCTCAGTAGATGCTTTGTTGGTTGACCCTGTTTACTTGTTCCCCTGTTCAAAGGCGCTCTGGGAAATACAATCGTATTTCCAAGATCATCCGCAATGTCATCAAACCTAGTCAGCTAGAGTTTACCCTCCTGTCCCATCATGTTCGCAAGTAAGCTGCAGTGTTAGCAGCCTTCTCCAACATGTCCTGGGCCGATATTAGGGCTCGGGAGTTTTAGCGTTCTAACCAAGTTCTTGCAGTTCGATATTTGGTTAATGTTCATGGTAACAGTCAGTCGTGTGTTACCTTGGGCTGTCCCCCACAATAGCAGGAGTGGAATGTGCAATTGTTTGAGCAGACAAATTACAGCTTTCCTTTAAATTTGTTGTATACAGAACTGTTTTAAATAACTTTTACTAATCCTTTTTCTCATCCAAGTGTTGCACTTCCTAAGCTCTTGAAACAGTGCTATGGATGCTGTGCCCTTTGTTCAGTCATGTTACTGTAATGACTGACAATGACAAGACAAACTAATGACAAATGACAAACATAATGTAATGACACACTATTAGTTTGAAAACAAGGTGGTGATTGATGGAACAAATTACCAGGTAACATAATAAACAAAGGATCCCTGCAGTGTTTCAAGCATAGATTAGACTCGTATAAACGAGTTGGAGGTGTTGCATCTACATTAGAAATAATGTAGCAGTAATTTAAGCATTCCAGGAATTCTGTATACAGTATTACAAATGACATCCACACATTTCTCAAGAATTCCATGTACTGTACTACAAAGCAATTTCCCATCAACCAATTAACGAGCAGCCTTGCTTTAAAGCAAGTCAGGTGGACAGGGATATAAAGCCGTCTGACCACTGCATCTAGGCCAGACGCCACCGCTCCTGTGCCAGGTAAGTCCACTATGGGCTCACCATAGCCTGTGCTATCTGCCCCGCTCCTGTGCCAAGTAAGTTATATCCAACAGTCACCACCATAGCCCGTGCTACTTGGAACTTGTTCCGAGTAGCTGAATCTATAACAACAACAACAACATGCATCTAGGCATTCTCAGGTAGAAGGAAAACCTCTAATCTGCCACATCTAGCCATTCCACCACAGACATGGTTTGGTTACAATCACGACTTGCCATCTATGATGACACCTGCACTCTACAGTTTTACTTCCCAGCTCGCCTGATTATGATACTGTAATGCCACTCATCAACTGCTGCTATAACCATATACATTAAACATACATCTATTTAAAATATTGTGTGTTTATTGCCCAACCTGTCATAATGTTACAGGTGGTTATAGATAGCAGCTGCATAGTACTAACCAAAAGGCCTTCTGCTGTTTCCTTTATTGTTAAATTTTTCTGCAAGTAAATGAATAGATGATCAGAAGACCACAGCCTCACTGGAATACACAGTAGGTGAATCTCAGCAAAACATAAAACCCAAAATCAGCTACAAAATCATGACAAATTTTGAAGCAAATAATACACACACACAAAAATTTGATTAAATTAATTACCTGGCATGAGTAAATTTTCCATATGCATAATTGTGGACATAAGAGGCATATGCCAAATCTTCATGAGCGATGGCTACATGCAAGTTGATGCCTCCAAAAACGTTCTGGCGGACATCTAGTGCAGTCTGAAACACAATGGCAAATGTTAGCCGCAGCATCAACAAAATATTAAATTACATTAGGAGCACCCAATATCATACTCATTTTACACAAACTGTGTACATAAATAATCTGACTCACCTGATACACCTGTACCCCTTGACTTATAGCATCTACGTTGAGGAGGTAAAAACCATAGTCTATGAGCGTGTCAGCGTACTTTGGATGTTTATCACCAAAAACTTCCGTTGCAATCATAACAGCCTTGAAAAAAGAATATCTGTTGTATTATATATTTATGCATGTAAAGTAATACTGCATACTCTACACAGAGAGCATAACAATTTTAATCATTTATCCTGAAAGTGTAAAAATTTATATCCTACTAGATGCAGTACCAGGCAGCCTCTGGGTTGACCACAAAAGCCCATGACATTCATGTGGTGGATGCACCCAAATCTGCCAGCAGAACATGCAATTTATATGTCAGTATTTAAATTCTGTGATATTTTGAGTAGATGATGAAACTTTATGGACTCCAACTTCACGGGAGTTGCAGTGGAAGCTTCCCTAGATCTACTTATGACAATTCCCTAATATCCACCAGTCACCCTTCAAAGGTTAATGAGGCTAGCCCTAAGCATCTGGCCTTCAATCGTGTACATATACAGACACACTACACACAGAAATCACAATTGCGTGATGCATTAAATGAACAAATCCACAAGGGCAGTGACGAGGATTTGAACCTGCGTCCAAGAGCATCCCAGATGCTGCCTTAATCGACTGAGCTATGACATGGTCAAAAGGAGTTGAAACCGAAGTTCTACTGAACTTACTGGATCCTGCAGCCTCTCCGAGGCACAAACCAGGGTTTTACACAACTCCCCCCATGCACTTCGATTAATGTCAATAGGCCATTCTCCCTCTTCGCCCTTACTTCATTACACTCAGAAATCACAATTGCGTGATGCATCAAATGAACAAATCCACATCCGTGACGAGGTTCGAATTCTCGTCACGGCCCTTATGGATTTGTTCATTTGTTTACAGTCAGACATTTTATTATATAAATATACAGTATCTTGGAAGAAAAATTAATATTTTAATAAACATTATGAAGGATAAGCTTGGATTTAATCTATGTAATGAATAAACAGACATAAACAAGGTTATCAATAACTAGCTTTTATCATTCTTGCAGCCCATCCTCCTGTTCTGGTTGTACAGTACTTATAGTAACGATGAGGACCATAGTACATATACCGACAACAACGAAATTGGAAAGTAAAAATTGACACTATTGAGTTGAATAAACCGGAAAACTATTTTTTTACTTGTGTTGCAAAGACAAACTAAACTAACATAACCTAACCTTCTTAGACCTAATACACAATATCTGGGCCTAATATAGTACATATGTGTGCTATACCTGGACTAGAAATATTTAAGTTTGTTTTTTAGGTTCATTTTTTTTTTTAAGAATTCCTTACTAGTCAGTATACTACTATCTAAAAGCCAAATACAGTATGTATGAATTCATGACTATTGACGATCATCACAATAGATACTATCTAAAGAGGAGGATGGGTTGCATTCTTGTGTTATATTATGAAATATCTGTATTTTGACATTTTTTTGTGGCCTCTCAAAATGAATAATCCTCATTTGAAGATATGTGATTGACTTCAACTATTAAGAGCATAAAAAAGAAACTCAAGAGGCATAATAAAAGGCATAACAGTTAGCAAAATTCAGATTTAGTTCGTACCATTTACTGGACCCAAATATTTTTATATTCTGTGTGATACTGTAATTCACATGAGCTGCCATTTTTTGGCGTTCTAAAAATAAAGTGATAATGCAAAACACAATTTTCATTCCTTCGTTTATGTACGGTACACACAAGATGGGTAGTATCTTTAAATACTCACCTGTTTAATTAGCAGTCCAGCCTTCTTAAACTCCCGTTTCAAAACACACGCTTTTGCAGACTGTCTCAGAACATCAATGAGTGGCGGCTTGGGGAAATTAGCAACCAATGCTTGTAGAGCTTTCACACTCCAGCTATATGCCTGGAAAAGTGAACACCATGTTGTAATGTATTTAAATGGCTCTGAAACTAGCAAAAGATCTTAACTTTCACTCACCTGCCTACACAGTTCTGCTTCAACCTTCACTCAGCTCCTTCCCATACACTCCTGCCTTAACCTTCACTCAGCTCCTTCCCATACACTCCTGCCTTAACCTTCACTCAACTCCTTCCCACACACTTGAAAATCTGGATCCATTTCTAGCAGCATACATGAGGTGCAGCAAGAGATGCAAAATTCTGATTTTTTTATGCTTATACTGTGTATATAACTTGACACATGAACAAGGGTTGCAAGACAGAGCCCTGTGGCACTCCACTTGCAACAGTTTCCCCACTCAAGACTTAACTGCATTTATGATAACCCTACTTTCTTGGAAAGAACCATGCCCTAATCCAACTTAGGATAACCCCTCCCAATGCCATGTGTTTTTTGAACCCGTTTGAACTTTCTAACAAGTCCTTCACGAGAAACAATATCAATGACGAAAGTTAAAAGGGGAAAGTTAGCCTCTCCACGAAAAGACTCACCTCTGCATAGTTTGACCTTAGCATGTACAGCGTCGAAAACTCGGAGTAGAGAGAAGCAAGGTTGGGCGATGCTCCCACCAGCTGCAGCTGCTTAACCAAATGCATTGCTTGGTTGTACGTCCGCTCCGCTTCCTCAAATCTACAGTACCCGTTCTGTACATGTAGTAATCTGAAGCAAAAGTTGTTTCTTATTATCCCAAAGTTTAAATAATTCTTCACACACACTTGCTACTTTTACAGTTCACATTTAAAATAACAAATCATAAAATACTGACTAAACTGGCACAACACAATATATATAGTGTCACCCTTTTTTTGTCTGTTACAAATAGGTGTTTAAATGCCATTCAGCACTATTCTATGTCTTGTTAATGAGGCAAACAAAAAAGGCTCTGTGCAGTGAGAAGGGGGGCTCTGTTCAGTGAGAAGGGGGGGCTCTGTGCAGTGAGAAGGAGGGGGCTCTGTGCAGTGAGAAGGGGGGGCTCTGTGCAGTGAGAAGGGGGGCTCTGTGCAGTGAGAAGGGGGGGCTCTGTGCAGTGAGAAGGGGGGGCTCTGTGCAGTGAGAAGGGGGGCTCTGTGCAGTGAGAAGGGGGGCTCTGTGCAGTGAGAAGGGGGGCTCTGTGAAGTGAGAAGGGGGGCTCTGTGCAGTGAGAAGGGGGGCTCTGTGCAGTGAGAAGGGGGGCTCTGTGCAGTGAGAAGGGGGGCTCTGTGCAGTGAGAAGGGGGGCTCTGTGAAGTGAGAGGGGCTCTACAGAGTGAGAGGGGGGGGCACTGGGGAGTGAGAGGGACACTGTGAAGTGAGAGAGGTTCTGCGAGATGTGAGAAAGTGATCAATAACAAATTTACACAATGATTTTGTTTGATGACTGACTTGCAAGGATAACACTGTAGCGGAGGATTTTATAGGCTGCATTATCTTTTTTAATTGAATATTATTATTGCTATCAATGTGTTAATATTTAGATCCTAACTGTGTTAAGCCTATGTATGATTATAATTACAGCAAAGAAAGATAGTACTGTATTTGGCCATGTGACAATTTACTGCACTCCTCTTTCTTTCTTCAATTTCTTCAATTATATTTAGTTTCTGTCATTGGTTTTTATTTACAGTATAGGTAACACAATTATTATTAACCAGTTCTTATTTAACAACAAACCTGTTACTTTGTCCGACATATTATTCTGCCCTACCTGAGCACCGCTAGATAGCGGTATATGTCAGCCCAACTGAGAATCAACGAGAAAGGAACAACAGTGAAACATTAAATGAAGCCAAGAACTCTGGTCTGCACTTGAGTGTCTTCTTCACCGGATTACACTCGTCTACCCAGTCTCAATGGCAAAATGTGATCCGTGTTAACCGTTAAGCAGCACACGCGTCTGTTAATGTTAAGTCAACTCCACCACAAGCAACACTGAAGCCGTTTAATGTACAATTACTGTGCTAATTTATTACTGTACAACTGCCCAAAAAAATAAAATATGCAATACAAGTCTTAATAAATCAAACTTTATTATTCTCTATTAACTCACAAAGTTATAAGATTTTATGTTAATTTTCAATACCAAAAATGCTGCCTATTAATTTCCAAAAGCAAAAGCTCTTTCCTCATCTTATTGCACAATAGCAGAAGACTGTGCGTGTGTGAATATTTCTGGCAAAATCTTCTCTGGTTCCTAACACACCAAGGCACCTCAATAAATTCTTAACCAGAGAAAAAATCTTTCCTATTAAATATCCAACAATGTGGAATTTATCTCAATAAATTACATGCAATAACATCTTTTGCCTCAACGTTTCACTCTAACAAAAGATGCAGCTCCTCACCTGTGGCAGCACTCGAGGGCCCGAGTCATTTGTTGGGGTTCGACGGAGTTCGCAAGAAGGCCCTGGCACGAGGTCAGGATGCTCTCCGCATCTGGCAGCCATCCGGCCTCTGCTAAAAACGCTGATACTGCCAGTCCTTGCAATACTAGGTTGTCTATTTGCTGAAAAATAGAACAATGGTTCGTTGCATCAATTGGCCACAATATAAGTTTTGACAAATTACAAAGTCATGCACATGCATCAAAACAAAAACCCATCAAAACAATACCTGGAGCATACCTAGAGATGGTTCTGGAGTTCTTCTACTCCTGAGCCCGGCCTGAGGCCAGGCTCAATTTCTGATAACTTGGTCCAACAGGCTGTTGCTCGGAGCAGCCCGCAGGCCCACATATCCACTACAGCCTGGTTGGTTCGGCACTTCATGCAAGAACTCGTCTAAGTGCCTCTTTAATATATGCACGTTTGTCCCAGCAATATTTCTAATGCTTGCTGGGAGGGTGTTGAACAGCTGTGAACCTCTGATGTTCAGACTGTGTTCTCTGATTGTGCCTATGGCACCTCTACTCTTCACTGGTTCTATTCTGCATTTCCTTCCATATCTTTCATTCCAGTATGTTGTTATTCTACTGTGCAAATTTGGCACCTGGTTTTCAAGTATCTTCCATGTATATATTATTTGATACCTCTCTCTTCTCCTTAGACGAAAGAGGATATAGGATACAAGGAGAGACGTCTCCTTATAATAATAGTGTTTTATTAACACTATTTAAATTGCCACAATCAATTCTGTGGCTACTCCACTAATACAAAACTATAAACATAACCAAGAACTCTTTCTGCAAAGGCTTCACTCGGTGGTTCCCCGAGGCTAGCTGCCATGGTTATTTCCAGGGAGCTACCAGAGACCCACCAGAAAAAAGAGGTGGTTCATTATATTAATGGATTTCTGGAAGGGCCCCATCAGTGGTTCCCTGGAGCTAACCAGGCAGCTAGACTCAGGGAACAACTGAGGGAACACACCAGAAGGCATTTAATTACATTCAACCCTGGATATATTTTTCTTTCCTAAAGCCCCTCAGGTAAGAGTAACATTGCCAACCAAACGATCTGTAACATTATATCAATTTCCAAATTGCCCTTTTAGTGTTTTTTTTCCTAAATTTAATAACTTTATCTCCTTTTGCATGTCTCATATTTATTTCTGTTTCTTTCCTGTAATCTTGCATGTCTGAGCTAGCGAGAGCAATCCTCAAACGTTTCGTATAGAATCTCGGAGCACACAGGAGGCCATTGGCTTACAAGGTTTTTTCTAAGTGCAACATATTGCAAACTTAATAGTACAAAAACTAATATTTTTAATAGCTAACAAAAATTTCAAAAAAACATGCCAAAGAATCAACATAGCCTAACTTCTTAAATACTGCCAAAATGGTCCAAAACAAAATAAAGTGAGAGAGATTTATTTACTTACTTGCTGATCAAAAATAGTATCTTGATTACATTTCTCAACATATGCTTGAGATAATATAGATGATATTTTACTGCTGTGATCCCCTAGTGACTGGTCCATCAAGGCCTGTGACAGCATAGATCAAAATATGACATTAGTACAGTACTTTGAATATTAATTTTCACCTACTTAAGCCCAATCATTCCTAATAAGTAATAAGAATAAGAAATACAAATCAGTTAGAATGTCATCAAGTTGTAACATTCAAGAGTCAAAAGGTGAAGGATGGAAAGCCAGGCTCTTAATGGACATACGGAACTGAAGCACCTGAATATTAAACATCTCTTGCGAAGGTAACTCGGTGGTCTAGTCAATAAGAAAGGTTAGATCATCTTCAAAATAAAGAGAACCCTGCAACTGCAAAGGAAAAACTGGAAACTGTGAAAGCCAATCCTGAAATTTCAGTACAAAAAATCATAAGACTGGTGGCAGGAAATAAAGCTTATCCGAGACATTGGTGCTTAAACCAAAGCAATGTTGCAGTGTCTCAGATGAAAACAGCCTTGATCCCAGCAGGATCAATGGTAAATAAGATCCAAGAACTGGGATTGGCATCCCAACATATCACACTAGACAGTTATGCCACTCAACAGGGGTGGAAAGATTCCAGACACGAGTTACCACAGGAGTCCAGCAACCAGGAGGCCTGGTCGACGACCAGGCCGTGGGGATGCTGAGTCCCGGAAGCACCTCAAGGTAAGACCCTGAACAGGTCACCTGATTTACCTGAACTCCGACAAGGAAGGAGCCTGGTCACCAAGAAATAAGCTTCTGGGCAAGCACTAGGATAAATCGAGAGATAAGTAGAACTCAAAGGTAGAAGTGGCAGGACGGGAAGGTAAGGTAATTATTAGGAGAAACCATAAAGCTGGAAGGGACATGATGAAAGAGCAGGGAAATGAGGGCGGAGTAAAGGAATGGTGCCCACCCTCACTAGGATCAACACGATGTGTGCAAGAGAAGGTGAGGAGTGAGCATGAACTACACACCGGATATAGTAAGTTACGAGACTGGGTGGTAGCAGTTCCTAAGAGGGGGAGTGAAAGTATTTATATAATACACAGTACTGTATATAATGTACACTAGGCTTAGGAAGGACTGCCAGAGTCTGAAGGTGCTTGATTATTAGCAGTGTCATAAATTGTGGATAACATATTGATTGAACAAGTGATATTTGTAATATTTTATAATGTAATATCAAAAGCCTTTTTTTTTGCTATATTATACTTTTCAACATTTTTCTCAAAATATGCTCCACAAATTAAGTTTAAGGCTATGTATAGAGGTATCCAAGATATCTTTCATAAATCACAAGATAGAAAAATTAAAAATTAAATACAGTAAATACTATCCCCCACACCAAGGATTAAAATTATTATTAAAATTAATTTTAATAAATAAATGAGTAAATTAATGGATATTTGCTTAAATATTTCCAGCGTCGGAAACAAACATAAATGGATCTTTCAATTTAAAATTTAACCCCTCATCCAGCCTTTAATCATAAGTTCTTAACAGCATAAATAATACAATATAACATGCTTTCCCACACACCTGAAAGCAGTGATGCAGCAAGTGCCTCTTGTCGACGACCTTAAGCATCCGTGTGAGCACATCCAGGCTGCACAGCTCTCCACGAAGCTCAGCCAGGCACCCATACTTGTACAGCTGCAAAGCTCAAATTCATAATTGCAGTCGAACAGACACTTTATAGATATGAAGAATATCAACATAAAAAAATAAATACTGTACCGAGTTTACCCGAGACCCACTAATACTAGTGGCCTCGTAAAAACACCAAATCTACATATAACAGACATAAAAAAGCAGCAACATTTTCACCCAAATCCAATCATTGTCAAAGTAAACAGAGAAGGTAACATAGCACATAAAGAGAGGGGGGGGGGGAGACAGCAGCAAGTCAAGAGGAGAGAAACAAGTAGGCAACAGTGCTTTCTCAAGAGCACTTGTTTGATAATGGTCCATGATGTACTAGATTATCATCACCTTTTCCTGTTGAAGGGACAGTGAAGGGAAAGTGAAGGGACAACAACAAACTTTATTAGAACTTTCTAACAAACGTGACCTAACATAAGCTTACCCTTCCATTTATCTTTCTTTTTCTTTTCTTCTTTCTTTTTCTTTCCCTTGTTTTCTCTTACGATCCCTTTCTTATTCCTATTACTATCCCCTTTATTACACCTTTTTCGTACCTTTTGCCTTGCATTTTCTTCCTTTAAGATTTTCTTCTCCTCACCTCTCTCTTGCCTATTTATTGCCTTCACCTCCTTCCCTCTTCCACCATTTGGTCACCACTTGGTCCGGGAGACATCTCCCGTTACGCAGGGTGCAGTTGCACCTCCACAGATCTCCAGTATCAGCTCTTGATACTGGTAATGGCTCAAAAGGGCCACCACTTACGGGCTATTCATGCCCGTGCCACCTTTTCGATGGTTTAATCGTCATCTTGGACACATTCATGGGAGACATCTCCCGTCACGCTGAGTGCACTTGCACCTCCACAGATCTCCAGTATCAGCTCTTGATACTGGTGATGGCTCGAAAGGGCCACCACTTACGAGCTATTCATGCCCGTGCCATCTTTTGGGTGGCTTCATCTTCATCTTCTTCATCTGTTTAAAACACGGGAGACATCTCCCGTCACGCTGGGTGCAGTCGCACCTCCACAGATCTCCAGTATCATCTATTGATACTGGTGATGGCTCAAAAGGGCCACCACTTACCAATTCATGCCCGTGCCACCTATTGGGTGGCTTCATCTTCATCTTAACACATTCACAAGGGAGACATCTCCCATCATGCAGGGTGCATTCGCACCTCCACAGATCTCCAGTATCAGCTCTTGATACTGGTAATGGCTTAAAATGGCCACCACTTACGGGCTATTCATGCCCGTGCCACCTTTTGGGTGGCTTAATCTTCATCATCATGTGTGTGTGTGTCACGGGAGACATCTCCCGTCACGCAGGGTGCAGTCGCGCCTCCACAGATCTCCAGTATCATCTATTGATACTGGTGATGGCTCAGAAGGGCCACCACTTACCAATTCATGCCCGTGCCACCTATTTGGTGGCTTCATCTTAACACAAGGGAGGGATGTCAAGGGAGACATCTCACATCATGCAGGGTGCATTCGCACCTCCACAGATCTCCAGTATCAGCTCTTGATACTGGTAATGGCTTAAAATGGCCACCACTTACGGGCTATTCATGCCCGTGCCACCTTTTGGGTGGCTTAATCTTCATCATCTTCATCATCATTCCCTCTTCCATCAGTTACAGCCCCACTCCTGTGCCAGGTAAGTCCACTACGGGGTCACCATAGCCCGTGCTACTTGGAATGTTTAGTTCCCAGTAGCTGAATCTTAAACAACATATGCTGTTTTCCGTCCTACATTATGGCTTGCTAAGCTTGACTCTGTCGTACCTTAGTATATGCATTACATTGTTTCTGCTGTATTGTGCCTACCAATTTTTGTCAACTACCATTCAAGCTGTCATTGCAATCAATCTTAGCTACCATGTGCTTTAATATACTGTACCTACAATTTTCTCTCATCTTCTTTTTTTCATTCCATGTAACTGTTATCATTTTTTTGTCTATAAATTTTGCAAGTATTTACCTCCTTAAAATTTTCTTAGATTAAGGACCTGCCCGAAACGCTGCGCGTACTAGTGGCTTTACAAGACTGTAATTACCATATTATGTATCCTCACATTCACAATGTACATTCTTGTATATGCATAAATAAATAAATAAAAAAATAAATAAATTATGCTAAATTAATCATAAGATTGCTCGATTAGTCCTTGGACAAATTAGATTAGGTTTATGGCTACTCTGCTTCAGTTTTCATTATTCCCTACAGTATTCCATCCATAGTAGCAAAAAAAAAATCATTTTTTACTTGTGTTCAACCAATTTAATCTGCATATAGGTTAAGCTCTTGGGTTATACAAAGATTGACTGATAGACGAAGATTAAGCCACCCAAGCGGTGGCATGGGCATGAATAGCCCGTAATTATACAAGGTTAGATGAGGGTATTATATGCCAACAGAAAACACTAATTATGTTCAAGGAGAGCTATCCAAACACCACCTAGACCAATCCTCCAGTCTAGCTATAGCCCATATAGACCTACTCCCAACCTAGGTCTAATCCAAGTCTAGACCAACAAAATAATATTAAGGGGCTTCTAAATAAGAAATAATATTTTTTTCATTGTTTACAAAACTGGTGGTGGAAAAATCAAATCAAATAATCCTTTTGAATCTGGACTGGACTAACTTTCCATACGAGTCTGGAGGAATGTTCACACGAAAAAAAAAAATATATATATATATATTAATAATACTATGACACTTATACTGGATAAATTATCTTGGATTTTATTATCCAAATCCGTCAACAACTGCCGTGGGGGGACATTTAGCCGTGACCAAGCCATCAGTAATAGAAATAAAGCCCTCCAAGCTGCGCACCGCTACACACAGCCACTCACCACCAACCTTATATAGAACATCGAACTGGACCGAAGGCGGGAATATACGGAGCTCGTGGCTGACGCTCTTGTAGTGTAGCACCACTACGTTGAGGGCGGAGTTGTAGAGCGTGCCGGGGAACCACTTGAGGAGGGATGCAGAGGCCATTGTGATTTTCTCCGCTGTGGCATCGGGAGTTTCTCACAGCTGATCAATGTCAACAAAGAGACATCTACCAGCTCGTCCACCTCACTCTCCTCCCCCCTTCTCTGGCTCTTGCTCCTACTCCAAACTTCTTCCCAGTTTTTGTTGGTGGAGTTTTTTTGATCTCTTCTTGCGATGGTGGAGATGCTGTTAGTGTGTGTGTTATGTCTAGATTATGATAGATCGTCCCAGGAGATAAATCAGGGTAAAGAAAACGGACATTCTCGACTTTAATATATTGAGGGGGAAACTTCCTTAGTTTAGACACCCAAAAAACGCGCGCACACACACATACCAGTACAATTTAACAAATAAAAGTAGTGACGACGTTTCAGTCCAACAGGACCATTATCGAGTCGTGTAAAAACTAACAGGTAGAGAACGGTATTATATATATAACCTTTATCATATATCTTTATCATTGTGATCATTGCTGTCTTCTTATATGTGCTGTCAATCTGCTGTATGGTGTCTATTAATCTTGTTTAAATTACCAATCAAGCTGCCAATGTAATCAATCAGAGCTTTAATATACCAATGTGCCTTAATATACTTACTAATCTCTCATCTCATTTTTTTTCGTGCAATGTATTTGTTATCATTTTATTAATTCTGATAGAATTTACCTACTTAAAATTATCTGTTAGATTAAGGACCTGCCCGAAACGCTGCGCGTACTAGTGGCTTTACAAGAGTGTAAGTAAGAACATAAGAACATAAGAACAAAGGTAACTGCAGAAGGCCTATTGGCCCATACGAGGCAGCTCCTATTCTATAACCACCCAATCCCACTCATATACTTGTCCAACCCGTGCTTGAAACAATCGAGGGACCCCACCTCCACAATGTTACGCGGCAATTGGTTCCACAAATCAACAACCCTGTTACTGAACCAGTATTTACCCAAGTCTTTCCTAAATCTAAACTTATCCAATTTATATCCATTGTTTCGTGTTCTGTCCTGTGTTGATACTTTTAATACCCTATTAATATCCCCCGGTTATGTCCATTTATCCACTTGTAAACCTCTATCATGTCACCCCTAACTCTTCGCCTTTCCAGTGAATGCAACTTAAGCTTTGTTAATCTTTCTTCATATGAAAGATTTCTAATTTGGGGAATTAACTTAGTCATCCTACGCTGGACACGTTCAAGTGAATTTATATCCATTCTATAATATGGCGACCAAAACTGAACTGCATAATCTAAATGGGGCCTAACTAGAGCAAGATATAGCTTGAGAACCACACCAGGTGTCTTGTTACTAACGCTGCGATTAATAAATCCAAGTGTCCGATTTGCCTTATTACGAACATTTATGCATTGATCCTTTTGTTTTAAATTCTTACTAATCATAACTCCCAGATCCCTTTCGCAATCCGACTTCGCAATCACAACACCATCTAGCTCGTATCTTGTAACTCTATCATCATTACCTAACCTCAGAACTTTACATTTATCAGCATTAAACTGCATCTGCCAATCCTTTGACCATTTCAAAACCCTATCTAGATCAACTTGAAGTGATAGTGAGTCCTCCTCCGAATTAATTTCCCTACCGATTTTCGTATCATCGGCAAATTTGCAAATGTTGCTACTCAAACCTGAATCTAAATCATTTATATATATTATAAACAACAGAGGTCCCAGGACAGAGCCTTGAGGCACTCCACTTACAACATTTTCCCACTCTGACTTGATTCCATTTATATTAACTCTCTGTTTCCTTTGGTATAGCCATGCCCTAATCCAGCTTAATATAGCACCCCCAATACCATGAGACTCTATTTTTTTAATCAGTCTTTCATGTGGCACTGTATCAAAAGCTTTGCTAAAGTCAAGGTATACAACATCGCAATCCTTACCACTATCAACTGCCTCAACAATGCTAGAATAAAAAGATAACAAATTTGTTAAACATGAACGGCCATTTATAAAACCATGTTGCGACTCAATTATTAATTTATGTTTTTCAAGATGAAGACGAATTTTATTTGCTATTATAGATTCGAGTAACTTTCCCACAATAGACGTTAGGCTAATTGGTCGATAGTTAGACGCAAGTGATCTATCTCCTTTCTTAAAAACTGGTATCACATTAGCAACTTTCCAAAACTCTGGCACTCTGCCTGACTCTATTGATTTATTAAATATGGTTGACAGTGGGTCACAAAGCTCCTCTTTGCATTCTTTAAGCACCCTAGCAAACACTTCATCCGGCCCTGGGGATTTGTTTGGTTTGAGTTTTACTATTTGTTTAAGAACATCCTCCCTGGTAACTGCTAAACTCGTCAACCTGTCCTCGTCCCCACCCACATAGACTTGTTCGGCTGAAGGCATATTGTTAAGTTCCTCTTTAGTAAATACAGATACAAAATATTTATTAAAAATACTACTCATCTCTTCATCACTATCTGTTATTTGACCTGTCTCAGTTTTTAATGGACCTATCCTTTCCCTAGTCTTAGTACGATATAACTGAAAAAACCCTTTAGGATTTGTCTTTGCTTGCCCTGCTATGCGAACTTCATAGTTTCTTTTTGCTTTCCTTATCTCTTTTTTAACATTTCTAACCAGTTGTACGAATTCCTGTTCTAAAGTGACCTCCCCATTTTTAATCCTTTTGTACCAAGCTCTCTTTTTACCTATAAGGTTCTTCAAATTCTTTGTTATCCACTTTGGGTCATTAGTATACGATCTATTCAATTTGTATGGTATACTACGTTCCTGTGCTTTGTTTAGAATATTCTTAAATAAGTTATATATTGAATCCACATCGAAATCCCCATTTAAGTCACCTATCGCTGGGTTCATGTCTCGCTCCAAGACCGGCCCACACCCCATACCCAAGCCTTTCCAATCAATTTGACCCAAAAAATTTCTTAGGCTATTAAAATCAGCTTTTCGAAAATCTGGCACTTTAACAGAATTTTCTCCTACTGGTCTATTCCATTCTATGCTATACTAAGTACTGTACTATGCTATGTATTCTCACAAACCCAATGTACCTTCTTGTATATAAATAAATAAATAAATAAATAAATAAATAAATAAATAAATAAATAAATAAATAAATAAATAAATAAATATAAGGTAAAAATGGGAGGTGAAAGCTGAGAAGATAAGAAGTAAAGGTTTCCAAACCAGTATTTACCCAGATCTTTCATAAATCGGAAATTATCCAATTTATATCCATTGTTTCGTGTTCTAGGTATGTGTTGTTATATTTAATACCTTATTAAAACTCTTTTGTTATGCACATTTATCTGCTTATTAACTTTAATCATGTCACCTTAACTTTTCGTCATTTTAGAGAATGTAAATTAAGCTTTTTTCAATTTCTTATTATATGGAAGGTTTCTAATTTGCGGAATTAACTTCGCCATCCTTTGCTGGACGTGATCTAGTGATTTTTTATTCATTCTGTTGAATAACGACCAAAACTGACCTGCATAATCTAAATGGGGCGTAAAGTTCAAGTTGAAGTAAGTTTATCGAGAAAATAAAATACATCCTGAAAGGTTAGAGCAGCTTAGGCATTTCTACGCTCATCTACTTAAGGTTCCTCAAAGGGCTCACAAGCCCCATGCAGTAAACAATTTTTAATCATATTTTGCATTTCACATTCCAATGGTAATCACAACTGTGAGATATCTTACTGATTATGCTGCCCCTTATCATGTCTTGTTTTAAGAACATAAGAACATAAGAACAAAGGTAACTGCAGAAGGCCTATTGGCCCATACGAGGCAGCTCCTATTCTATAACCACCCAATCCCACTCATATACTTGTCCAACCCGTGCTTGAAACAATCGAGGGACCCCACCTCCACAATGTTACGCGGCAATTGGTTCCACAAATCAACAACCCTGTTACTGAACCAGTATTTACCCAAGTCTTTCCTAAATCTAAACTTATCCAATTTATATCCATTGTTTCGTGTTCTGTCCTGTGTTGATACTTTTAATACCCTATTAATATCCCCCCGGTTATGTCCATTCATCCACTTGTAAACCTCTATCATGTCACCCCTAACTCTTCGCCTTTCCAGTGAATGCAACTTAAGCTTTGTTAATCTTTCTTCATATGAAAGATTTCTAATTTGGGGAATTAACTTAGTCATCCTACGCTGGACACGTTCAAGTGAATTTATATCCATTCTATAATATGGCGACCAAAACTGAACTGCATAATCTAAATGGGGCCTAACTAGAGCAAGATATAGCTTGAGAACCACACCAGGTGTCTTGTTACTAACGCTGCGATTAATAAATCCAAGTGTCCGATTTGCCTTATTACGAACATTTATGCATTGATCCTTTTGTTTTAAATTCTTACTAATCATAACTCCCAGATCCCTTTCGCAATCCGACTTCGCAATCACAACACCATCTAGCTCGTATCTTGTAACTCTATCATCATTACCTAACCTCAGAACTTTACATTTATCAGCATTAAACTGCATCTGCCAATCCTTTGACCATTTCAAAACCCTATCTAGATCAACTTGAAGTGATAGTGAGTCCTCCTCCGAATTAATTTCCCTACCGATTTTCGTATCATCGGCAAATTTGCAAATGTTGCTACTCAAACCTGAATCTAAATCATTTATATATATTATAAACAACAGAGGTCCCAGGACAGAGCCTTGAGGCACTCCACTTACAACATTTTCCCACTCTGACTTGATTCCATTTATACTAACTCTCTGTTTCCTTTGGTATAGCCATGCCCTAATCCAGCTTAATATAGCACCCCCAATACCATGAGACTCTATTTTTTTAATCAGTCTTTCATGTGGCACTGTATCAAAAGCTTTGCTAAAGTCAAGGTATACAACATCGCAATCCTTACCACTATCAACTGCCTCAACAATGCTAGAATAAAAAGATAACAAATTTGTTAAACATGAACGGCCATTTATAAAACCATGTTGCGACTCAATTATTAATTTATGTTTTTCAAGATGAAGACGAATTTTATTTGCTATTATAGATTCGAGTAACTTTCCCACAATAGACGTTAGGCTAATTGGTCGATAGTTAGACGCAAGTGATCTATCTCCTTTCTTAAAAACTGGTATCACATTAGCAACTTTCCAAAACTCTGGCACTCTGCCTGACTCTATTGATTTATTAAATATGGTTGACAGTGGGTCACAAAGCTCCTCTTTGCATTCTTTAAGCACC